AATAATTGGAAGAAAAACTAAAGTAGAGTAAGATTTTGCCAAGTCATGGAGTTGCCATCAATGGTGGAGCGTTCCGGAAATCTCCTTGTGGTGCGCAGCTTGTTTAATAATGCGCCGCTGTATCAGACTGCCGCAAGTCATGGAGAGGAGCTGCCATGGGTTAATGGCTTAAATCCCCTGATGGGTGCGGATATTCTGGAGCGTCAACTGGAGCAGTATAGGGTGAGCAGCTCAATGTTTCCGCTGCAGATTCCTGGTTCTGCACCCGTGGGCAGTCCATCGCCAGCCCATTTGGACAAGGAAAACACGGAGAGCAGCTCGCTGCCAGACGGTAATCCAAACTCCAACAACGAGGAGGACCTGCCCCAGTGCAAGATTAGGCGCAACTACAGCTGCAACCAGTGCGCCTTCTTTACCCAGAATCCCCGCAGCCATTTGTCCCATCTGCGCGACGTCCATGGCGAGCGCATTGTGATTAACGAGTGCAAACTGTGCCTCTACGCCTCCCGGCACTTCCAGAAGCTGGTGCGGCACATGAAAATGGTGCACGGCTGCTCCGATGATGGCGGCGCAGTGCCCGGAACCGGTGGCCAACTTCGAGGCAAGCGGAATGTCTCACGGGAGGTGCGCAAGCGTCGGCTGGAGGAGAGCATTGAAGTGCAGGCCACGAGTGGACCCAATCTAAATCCCAGCCTGCTGCGGATGCTCCAGAATGGACCCACACTGGAGCAGCTGAAGGTCGAGCTGCAGCAGCAGGAGCAACAGCTTCTGGCCAGTGTCCAGGCCTACAATCGCCAGCAGGAGATGCTGCAGCTCCAGCAGATCGTCGACGGGCACGACAACCTCTTCTCCATGGCCTACGAATACCAGACCAAGTTGATGCCGCCCAGGCAGACGGAGTCCGCAAAATTGGATCAGAACAACAGTAGCTCGGATTGCGAGGAGGCTGTGAAGAGTCCGTCGCCGGATGCGTTTGAGCTGGCCCCGGGTGCAGGGCATTTCCAGTGCCAGAAGTGCTCGTACAGCACGCCCATCCGGTCCAGATTCAAGAAACACGTCAAGTACCACTCCATGCCGCTGATCAAGTGCAGCTCGTGTGATTTCCACACACCCTACAAATGGAATCTGGACAGGCACACCAAGAACCATGGTGCCCATGGGCATTTCAAGTGCTCGGCCTGTGACTTTAGCACCGACATCAAGCAATCGCTGACCATACATGAGTTGAATCATCATGTGCCCACAATGGGTCACACGATGTCCACCAGACGCCGAGACGTGACCGAGGCTCAGCTGGATCAGCAGCCGAGTGGGTCGGCGTCCAAGAGGCGGGGTCCTCCTGTTACGGCACCGGACTCGCCGCCTTCAGAGTTTCCGGGCATCGTTTGCTCCCACTGCCACAAGCGGGTTGGCAATGCCATCGAGTTGATCAATCACCTTCAAGTGTGTGCTCCCGCCTTGCGGAACACCACTCAACATCTGCAGGCTGCTCTCACCGTGGAGATGGATCCGCAGGATGATGACTTGCCCAGTGCTTCCACAGATCTCAGCTACTGCGGTGTGGAAACAGCTCCTGGCTACGGAGAGGTAAATTTCAGTACATTAATTACAAAAATGATATATGTGTGAAGGTAAGACTAACCACATACCTCTTGTTTAAGGTCACTGATCAGTTCCTGCCCGACGAAGCCGATGAGTCGACGCCGTTGAAGAAGGTTTTCAAGTGCCCCCATTGCACCTTTTGGGCAGCGACTGCCTCGCGTTTCCATGTCCACATCGTTGGTCATCTGAACAGGAAGCCTTTCGAATGCTCCCTGTGCGCCTATCGCTCCAACTGGCGCTGGGACATCACCAAGCACATCCGCCTGAAGGCCATCCGGGATAGGTCCCACAACCAGGCCGAGGTGCTGATGAATGATGAGACCGGAAGGCGCAACTACGCCAAATACAATCAGTATCTGACCTTGATGAAGGTGAGTGCAGAGCATCTGGGCGATTCCAAGGGCATGCGCACGGGTGAGATGATCGTGATGCCGCCGGAGAAGCTGGCCGAGCATCAGCCCATGGAGACGGAGGAGAGCATAGCCGCCAGTCAAGTACCCATTGAAATGGTTGATAGTGCTCTGTCGACCTCGGCTCTGGATTTGAGAAAGCCTCGGGAAGAGCCTTCGGTTGGTGGCAGCAGCAGCATGGACTCAAAAAACACACCACTGGAAGCTGAAGGAACACATTGGCCTATGGATCTGGAAGCATTACAATTTAATTCATCGAACGGCAAGCCAATGACAAGTGGTGGCCTGGTCAAGGATTCACCGCTGGACTTGACCAAGCCAAATACCTTATCTGAGGATGGACGTCAGTCCGATGAACTGACATCCAGTGATGATTCTCAGGACTCCACAGAAAGCGATTAGGTTGGAGTCGGTTAATACGCTTTGCCAGATTTCTTTCATTTACATTTTGTAAAACGAAACCCGAAATTGTTATTCACTTGTCTAACAAACAATTCGAATTTATTAAAACATCTGAGTATTGACTTTGCCGTTTCTATAGTGAGATAAACATGTACTTGTTTAATGGTTAGGTAGCTGTAAGCAGTAGGACTAGATGCCAGCTAAATAAAATAACAATACATGGGTAGTCAATAGTGTGTTAGCATATTGTTAATTTAGCGCGGCTTATGTATTGATGACACTCCTATTCTAAGATCAGATCAGCTAAGCTTTAGTCTCGGACAATAACGTATACTACGAATTTAGATCACGCGCTTTTCACAGCAAACATTCCCGTATGAAAAATAATACTATGCATATCAATACGAACAGCGGCACCAGGAAGCAGACTTCATCTATGCCAAAGGTGCCCAGGATCAGCCACAGATCGAGGCAGAGAAAGCGAGTCTGCAGGAGCCACAACCACAGGCACTAAGCGGTCTGGCACTGCACGCCCTCAAAGTGTGGCGACTGTCCGTCCTCGTCGTCCGGTTGCCGGGATTGCGGCTTGTAGTCTGCCATCTGTACTTCCTCGGCGTTCTTGGGAATCACCACCTGCTGTCTGGGCGGCAGTAGATCCTCCAACATTGCCAGCTGCGCAGGCGTAGCAAAGTCGTTTTCGGGAAACTTAACCTTAAACTTTAAGTAGAGATCTCCGCTGTCGGTGGCTTTGTTGAAAACGGGCATGCCGCCGCCCCGCACCATCTTAATGTGGCCGTGTTGCAGGACTTCGCCCGGATGCGTGCCCAGACAGACGTTCCGTCCATCCAAGTGCTTAAAACAATGGGTGTAGCCGCACAACGCCTCCGTGATATTTATCTCAAGGTCCCGCATGTACAGATTGGCATGTCGGCGCTGAAAGAGTTGATGGTCCAGTTGAGCGATGACTACAATGAGGTCTCCAAACTCGCCGCCTCGCATCTGGTTGCCCTCGTTGGCAAAGGGTACTTTCAGCATGTGCGGGACTCCTCGCTCCACGACCAAATCCCGCTTCATCTTCTCCTCCACGAATCCGCTTCCCTGGCAAGGACTGCACTTCTTGTCCTCCTTGATCGTGAATCCCCGGCCATCACAAGCCGGGCAGGTCTGAAACAAATTTTTTAATATTTAAATGACACATTAGACAGTATCAAAGATATATGCATATATGAAAGCTATAATAAATATTCTTTTATGACAAGCGTTGTTCATATATAAATTTGCATATTTCTCTAGGAGCATAATATTTTAAGGACTGTTCTACATACCGCATCGAATGCGCTTAGACCCATGAAGGTAAAAGCGGCCGCTTGACCCGCTCCGCCACAGGTTTCGCAGCTTTCGCGCGCCTCTTTGGGGCCGCCGTCCCCATTGCACTTGGGGCACAGCTTCTGGCGCTTGTACTCCAGCTTCTTCTTCATGCCGCCAACGTAGATCTCCTCCAGCGTCAGCTCGACCTTGACCACGACCTTGCCCCCGCGCCTGCCTCGCCCCCCGGGCGATACTCGATCGAAGGGGAACCACTGGGCAAAGAACTCGGAGGCATCCGAGAATCCTTCGGCGCCCTCCTGAAGGCCCTTCAATCCGTAACGGTCGTAGATGCGACGCTTCTCGGGATCGGACAGCACTTCGTAGGCGAAGGATATCTCCTTAAACTTGTCTCCAGCATCGGGATTCTTGTCTGGATGGAACTCTTTGGCCAATTTTCGATAGTTCTATTGAAGCATACGAAACAGGGATAACACTAGTTATACCAAACAAATTGAATTGGTTGTTACCTTCTTTATTTCCTCATCGCTTGCATCCGGAGCCACTCCAAGCACTTCGTATAAATTTAAGTTGTCCATTTCCTATTGCACCCCAGCCCCTACAAACTAAACTAGTTGTACATTGTAAGTGTACATTTATTTATTTATTTAATAATATACCTATGACACTGTTTTCAAGTCATTTTGGTTGTCGAGTGTGACCAAGTGCGATCACACAATGTAAACTAGATATAAAAGTACCAAAGTATAAAGTATAAAGGAAATGTTCGTCTATTTAAAAGAACAGTAGAGATTGGAGATGAAAGAATTAAGTCGAATTAAATTTTTCAAAACTACGATATTTGATTAATTTTGGGCCTTGTTTTATTAATATTCCATCAAATAATGATAATAATAAAAACTTTCTTCAAAACATTTAAATCAAATAAAATATTAAAATATTGAATAGGTATACGATTATACTGCAAATTACGTTTACTAGTGACTTGCTTACATGTGTATTTATTTTTATCGCAAAGATCGAATTAAACCTTATTTGATATACATTTTCTATATCCCTGAATATCTATTTTTACAGATGTAAAATAATAGACAAATTAACAGACATAGTGCTCACTGTAACACCACGTAACCACGGAAAACAAAAAAATACCAGAAGTATACTGAAATGAGTCACACTGGAGGTACTTTCCATATGCCAACGCGTTAGTACCTTCCGCGCGTCGAGTCAGGGTCCCACCCGAGAAACTTCCACCAGCGCACATACACACACAGGCGCAGCTACGTGTGCCATCTTGCTTTTTCGTCGGAAAATTTTTCAGAAATTACGCCCGAAAATTACGAAAAAACTGCAACCAAATGGAGTGAAAATTTTTTTAAATTTAAATTTCGTGCAAACACGTGAAATAAAGTCGAGTTTGGTAAAAAATTTGCCGCCAAACGAGCGCTGGAGAATTTTTTCATCAAGCCAAATGGGTGCGAAGCTGACGACGTAAAAATTTTTGTGTGTACCAACGAAAGAGCGCAGAAAACGGACAGGGCGAGAGCGCAAAGCGGAGAGACCGAGAAACACTCGCGCAGGAAGAAGCAGCAACGACAGTTTTCGCTCTGTGAGTCGGTGTGTGTGCGTGTGCGCGCGTGTGCTGGGAAAAATGATGGAAAACTACGAGGAAATTCGCCTGGGCCACATTAAGCCCAAGGATTTGGGCGACCAGGTGTCAGACGCTCCGCAATTCTATCCACCGGCCCAGTTTGATTTTGGCGCCGAAATTCTGGCCACAACGTCGACCGAGGCGGAGACACCAACAACAGCAACCAGCGAACTCTCTGGCAAAGCAAATGGTGAAATCAAAACAAAAACATTGGCTGCCAGGGAAGAACAAGAAGTTGGCGCCAATTCAGAGCAAGACACCAAAACTCCTACAAAGTCGTTGGGCGAGGATGAAGAGGAGGATGAGGAGGACGAAGAGGACGACGAGGAGGAGGACGACGAAGAGGAGGTTACAGGCACGAGCAACGAGGACGAGGATTCCAGCTCGGACTGCTCCTCTTCAGTGGATCCTGACTGGAAGTTGCGCTGGCTGCAAAGGGAGTTCTACACGGGCCGTGTGCCTCGCCAGGTGATTGCCAGCATCATGCCCCATTTCGCCACCGGATTGGCGGCTGACACCGACGACTCCGTGCTGTGGGACTACCTGGCCCACCTGTTGAACGAGCCCAAGCGACGCAACAAGCTGGCCTCGGTGAACACCTTTGACGATGTCATCAGTTTGGTCAAGAAATCGCAAAAGATCATTGTGCTTACGGGAGCCGGGGTATCGGTGTCCTGCGGAATTCCGGATTTCCGCTCCACCAACGGCATTTATGCGCGGTTGGCTCACGATTTTCCCGATCTACCCGATCCGCAGGCCATGTTCGATATCAACTATTTCAAACGGGACCCGCGACCATTCTACAAGTTCGCCCGCGAGATATATCCCGGCGAGTTTCAGCCCTCACCCTGCCATCGGTTTATCAAAATGCTGGAGACCAAGGGCAAGCTTTTGCGCAACTACACGCAGAACATCGACACCTTGGAGCGGGTGGCGGGCATCCAGCGGGTAATCGAGTGCCACGGCTCCTTTTCGACAGCCTCCTGCACCAAGTGCCGATTCAAATGCAACGCCGACGCCCTGCGAGCGGACATCTTTGCCCAGCGGATTCCAGTCTGCCCACAGTGCCAGCCCAACAAGGAGCAGAGCGTGGACGCCTCGGTGGCCGTCACCGAAGAAGAGCTGCGCCAGCTGGTGGAGAATGGCATCATGAAGCCGGACATTGTCTTCTTCGGCGAGGGTAGGTGTCGTTTATGCATTGTGTATAATAACAGACTTTATTTTCAAACAAATCTATTTTTTAAGATGTTAAACAATCTTATGTTTTGTAATAAACATATCATAACAAAACTGTTTGGATTCGTCTCTAATTGCTGTACCGCTGTGTTTTGTTTTATTGCCAACAGGTCTACCGGATGAGTACCACACGGTCATGGCCACCGACAAGGACGTGTGCGATCTGCTGATCGTAATTGGCTCCTCACTGAAGGTGCGCCCCGTGGCCCACATTCCCAGTAGCATCCCGGCCACGGTGCCACAGATCCTCATCAATCGCGAGCAGTTGCATCACTTGAAGTTCGACGTGGAGCTGCTGGGCGACTCCGATGTGATAATAAACCAGATTTGCCACAGGCTGTCTGGAAACGACGACTGCTGGCGGCAGCTGTGCTGCGATGAGTTAGTGCTCAGCGAGAGCAAGGAGCTGTTGCCGCCAGAGCACTATCACCATCATCATGTCAGCCATCACCTTCACCACCACCGCCACTGCAGTCCTGCTGCGGAGATCGAACAGCAATCGCAACTGGACATGGATACACAATCCCTTAAGTCCAATGGTTCAGCAGACTACATTCTGGGCTCGGCTGGCACCTGCTCTGATAGTGGCTTTGAATCCTCCACATTTACGAGTGGAAAACGTTCCACTGCCGCCGATGCGGCAGCTATAGAACGCATCAAAACTGACATACTGGTGGAGCTGAATGAGAGCACTGCCCTGAGCTGCGATCGTTTGGCTGTCGGAGCCCCGCCAACACCGGTTGAAAGCTACCGTCATCTTTCCATCGATTCCTCCAAGGACAGCGGCATCGAGCAGTGCGACAACGAAGCCACCGGTAGATATGTGCGTCCTAGCATATTTGTTCAGGAAACAAAGACAGTGGCACCCAGTTTAACGCCCATTCCTCATCAACGAGGAAAGCGACAAACAGCGGCCGAGCGCCTGCAACCAGGAACATTCTACTCCCACACCAACAACTATTCGTATGTGTTCCCAGGAGCTCAGGTTTTTTGGAACAACGATTACAGCGATGACGACGAAGAGGAGGTAGAGGTAAGAGGCCACAATAGACACGGCGATCTTTTTGGTAACGTGGATGAAGATGAGGATGTCTGTGATCTTAATGCCGTACCATTGTCACCATTGCTTCCGCCTTCGCTGGAGGCCCACATAGTCACCGAGATAGTTAATGGAGCCGACGAACCGCTGCCCAACAGCAGTCCCGGGCAGAAGAGACCCGCCTGCGTAATTGAACAGCAGGCAACAGTTACCCCCACACCCGCAGTTGTGACGGAAACTCCGCCCTTTAAGAAGCGGCGACCTAGCGAAGACAATGAGCAGCAGCAGATCCATTTAGAAAGATCGGAGGAGAGTCCTCCTCCAGGACAGTTAGCAGCTGTGTAAGCGTTTTTGTAGTCTTGCTATTAGTATAGTATTTATTTTAAATGGGATTAAACCAGCCTGTAAACACAACAGAATCAATGTCCACAGAAGCTCCTAAATCGATGCAAAGGCCCATGTTACCAATTTAATTTCCAAGAAACGTAGTGGAATCGGAATCGATATAAATATTACTTTTTACTGGTGTTAAAAGTGTAAACTTTTCTATTCCGGTTTCATAGAATTTCTGAGGAAAGTAACCAGGAGTTAGGACCACTAGTTTATTCAACTAGAGGCTTTACACATTTGCCCCTTGTTGCTTTACACCCACCCCTTACGCCCCCTTCCGTTTTGATATTTTTGCTAAAGCTCTTACTTTATTTATTATCTCTCTTCAAAACGAAACGCTGTAAATGTTAGTATTTTATTATATTAAGTTGTTATTGAGGCCTTTTTAGATAAACAACAAGATTTAAGCGGAAGATTTTAAAATCTAGAAAGCAAGGTTTTTTTGTATTCAAAGAGAATCAGCGCCTCAACTTTAAATCTAGGATTAAGTATAAAATTATCATAAAAATGAAACTACAACCAGATAACAAAACAACACTTCGATTAAGTTAAGAACTAGACACAAACACTTTGTATATAAGCACTCGCCCTTTATTTGTATTGTACATGATCCTTTTTCTACTTGTTTGTGTTATTCCTTTCTTTTTATATTTCTATTGGTTATGGCAACTATTTTCCAACATTAGTACATTCACACACACATCAGATTTGATCGACACTATATATGTGGTCATTCAGGTTAGAGTCCTGCACAAGTTTACGTTGACTATGACGTTGTAACAGCTCCTTTCATAAGCTATGATTCCATTAACTCGTTTCAAACAGCTCAGCTCGAGTAGCTCACAACAATCAATCAAGCTTATATTACTGAGAAAAAAAATGAACGTATACGCTTCCTTAAAATAACTAAAATATTTGAGTTCTTCAGCTTAAGATAGTCCGATATGTTCTTAAAGGCGGATATGAATGCCAACAACAGCGAAATAAAAAAGTATCTTTGTATAAAAATAAAATAAGTTAATTAATTAATAACTTCCCGGCTTATAAATTCTTTAGAAATCCACGAAGGATACCATTTTCGCGACTAATGGCAACAGCCCACTTTTAAGAATAAATTAGACCTTATTTAGTGAAGAATTCACGCTCATTTTTAGAAGTGATCAGAAAAAAAATTTGCGATACATAAACATTAAATATAGTAATAATTATATTTATAAATGTAATAATAGTAAAAATACACCCCGAATTTAATTGATCAGTTTGCATTTTCAACAAGACATTTCGCCACTCCGATTGAGCTACTCGAGCGCAGTGGGCTCAAGTTCGAAGAGCTTATGATTCGATCAAATCGTTTAGCTCATCGCAAAAACCTGGAATCTGAGCTATTTGAATTTAAAATTTTTCTGTCAAGTATACTCGTGAAGGGCTCTAATACAGATATAAATACAAGTTTGTCATTGGTGTGCGTGTTTGAAATGATTAATCAAAAACTAGCATAAATAAATAGCCACCAAACGCAGTGTAAACCTAGCAGTAAGAATTTAGTCTATATGTAATGAAAGTGTATTAATCCAAAATATAAACCAATCTAAACAAAATTTAAATGGCATTTTTACATATAATCTTATGTTACAACCAAAAGTTAGCCACATAATTTTATAGTGCTATCGTTTATGCAGATCAAGTTTGATCTCCACGGAGCCTACGACTATATTATAAAAGGATCGATCGGTTTTCAAGGTATTTAATTTTATACTCTTTTCTTCCTACAATTTATTTTTAAAAGTATGTTGAATATTCTTTAAGTTCAATTAAAATGGAACGACTATGTCCTTTTTTAATGCTGCCAAGCCAATGTCGTCTGTTTTATATGCACCGTCTAGAATCTACATTAGCTTGAAAATATATATATATATCAATATGGGCTTCAAACAGAAGTGGTATTTACACATTCGAATACAGTTTCAGACAAATGTTTAATTGCTCCCAAAATTAACCCAACAACTTGGACAAAAATACATTTTATTTCAATACTTGCAATTTTGAATTCGGTTTTATTAAGTATTTTGACATTAGCTGGTATCTTAGTGTTATCTAAATACATATTCTATTATTAAGGTTGCCTTCTTCAAAAATATGCCTTATTCGTGGTGTCCCTGAAGAGACGTGTGACTTCGGAAAGTTATAAAACGAGGAAGAGAGCGCGATCTGGATTGTGGAGCTTACTTACACACTATGAGCGACTTCCAATCGCTTCGCTTATGACTGAACGATGTATGCTAGACATGCTGCCTAATTTCCTGGGATGGTTTCACGCTCTTGGTTTTATATAAAATCGACATTCGTGAGGCCTATGGTCAGCGTCGGAACTTATTTACAATTAACAAACCTAAGCTGTACAAACCCCATATGTATATCTATATAAATATGTGTGTTGTATGCATCATTTATTTTAACTCTTTCGTTTATAGAAATATGATTGATTTAAAAAAATGTAATTGTCCCCAATTCAATGATCTCTATACAATTGTTGATATAGAACTCTGACTGATATAACATGAGCGTACGGCTACGATCTTCTGTTTACGATATAATCGGTAAAAAAATAACGCGCAGTGAGACTTGAGTTAGTTATACAATTGTATCATGGATTAACCGATCCATTCTAGGCAACGTTTGTGTTTCAATTTTCAGTGCTAACAAAATACTTTAATATGTATATATATATATATTCGTTATATATATCCTACATGCCTAAGCATTAGTATACACGTATAAAAGCGTTTTCATCGGTGACATTCTTCGTTTAGCTTTGAACGAGTTCAAATCCACGCACTATAAAAACGGCGATTTGTTGGTCTTATGTGATCTGGACCTTCCCGGATTAACTTTGCACTTAAGCTGGGCAATAAGGTCGGAGATTTTTAGTGCTGGTCCCACCTTCATGCCCAAAAGTGGCATTATGTCGTCCTTGGTCAGCTGCAGCAGTCGCTTCCCATCGATCTTGTTGCGGCTAAAGGTGTCGCAGTGAGCTGTGCAATCGTTCACGCGCAAGAACTGGGACACGTCATATACGTTCCACGAATCCGGTGCTAACTCCAAGTGCGCCTCACTCGAATCGATGTCGGCCAGACGCGGAATGTATTTATTATTCGTCGCAGAGGAGTTCTAAAGTCACAAACACATTGGAAACGTTATAAGTATAATTGTCATAAGAGGGAACAAGTTTAATTTTAAGGCTGGATGATGGGACGGTTGGATGTGGGTGTGGGTGGGTAGGTTGTGGTTGTTGCAAGTACCAAAAATAACAGTGCGTAAAACTTAGTTATATACAAATGACGTTTTTATACACTTTGTTGTGCAATGATGCAAGGATAGCCTGCCCAATTTAGTTACTATCAAAATATAATAGATTTTTTAATTTTATTCCATAGGCTATTTGCTGACTGATTTTAATATTTGACTTTTTTTTTAAAAATCTAATAGTTAAGTTAAAGGGAATCTTATTATTGTAAAACAGAAAACAGTACTTTTCCTATCACTGAGCTAAATAAATAAATTTGAATTGTTGCAAAATGTATTAAGGATCAAACTTTACAACCACTGTGCCGTATGAACCTTTCATTAAGATGCATGAGCTGGACTTCAGGCGGGCTAGTTGGCGTGCAGGCGGGCTGGGCTGGCTGGCTAGATGGCTCTATGTGGATGACTCTACGCACTATTATTCCGCTAAGTACTCACCGCAATGTAGCTAGTGGCTTTGCGGCCCACAGTTGGTGGCGCAGGAGATTTAGTAGTGGAAGATTTCTTTACCATTTTGTTGCTGCCCGTGGCGAGAGTTACCAGCGAAGCGGAACCACTTCCACAGACAGATCCTGCGATCTGATCACTGGAGGACTGTGTGGTCGACTGCTCGGATATGTGGCTGGTGCTCCCGTCGCCATCTCCATCGCCATCTGCATCGGGATCCTCCTCCTCGCCGTCTTCCTCTGGTTGATTGTTCTCGTAAAAGGCAGCATTGTGATGCTCCGGCTTCAGTTCGAGTTTAATGCTCAGTTTGGGCAAGTGCGGCGTGGTCTTTAGCGCAATTGTACGTGATTTGACTGGAATGAAAGCAGATCATTAACAAAATCTTAGCAAATGTTTGCAATTTAAAAGAGTTTGTGTAAGAAAAGAAACCTTATGTTTTATGCTTCCAATTGTCAGGTGAATAGCTATACAAATATCCAGTCAACCTAAACTTGAGAAACTCACCTGACTGTGTGTTATCGTTTGGCGTCTTGCCCCCGACTGCTCCTTTCTTGGGCTTCCGCTTCCGCTGTATCTTGGCCTTTGGGGCAGGTTTTGGAGCTTGCTGCTGTGCCACCCTCGGCGGTCCCTCCAGCTTATGGTTGACCAATACACACCAGCCAACTGGATATATATCGGCCGATTCGCAGTCCAACCACTGGTCATACTCGTCCGTCCATCCGTCAAAGTGAACCTTAAGCAGGCGACCCACAACACGCGCCACCGTGGCCACACAGACGAGCCGGGGATCCATTAGATCTGCACACTCTAGACTCATGCCCATCACAAATCCGTGGTCGGGCACCACGCGGTGGAAAAGATGCTGGCTTGCGGCCACTGCTCCTGTGTCGCGTAGGTAACCCTCCCAGGTAAACGTATGCGAGTCGTAGCCATTCGGAGGCGTCACCGAAATGCTGTTGGAAGAGCAGAATCCAGCTGGAAAGATGCACGGACTCTTTTCATGGTAGCAGAACCTAAAAAGATAACATCACTTTTAGTTACAATCTTTGGCTTTAGCAGAAGCTTCAAAAGCTCACCAATCCGACCCTGAGGCATCCGGTTGGTAGGAATCAATGCGTATCATCATGTAACCAAATTTGAGAACTGCCATCACGGTGGCCGGACAAATAGAAGAGAGATTGAGTGGGTCCACCGCCTCCAGCTTCATGCCCTCCACAAAGCTGTTGGTCTTGCCGTCACTATAGTATTCGTCGAAGGTGAAGTTCATCTTGAACAGTTCAATGGTGGCGTCGTCCTCATGAACCTCGATCATGGCTTCGCGGCCAGCTGAAATAAATAAATATTTGCATTATTATTACATTAATTTGTTGTTGCTATTTATAAAAAAAGGAATATCAATATTTGTATATGATATACTTTACGCAAAACTAAATAATTTCTTATATGATTCTTGTGTATTAAAAAATAAAATTATAGAAGAAGAAATCTATAAGTATAATACGTATTTAAGCTACTCACCCAGCATGCGCTCCAAATAGTCCTGAGGGGCGGCCAGATTATGACCCACTGTGGTTGCCCAGCCCACTGGATGGATGATGGGCGAATCCTCGTGGCACCAGAAGCCGTCGTCGGAATCGAAGTAGCGCAGAAAGAGGCGCTTGCCCACGATCTTGGTGACGGTGGCCAGACGCACCTGCGAAATGCGATCCTTGTCAACGCACTCGAGATTCAGGCCAAGGCGAAAGCGCGACTGCAGGCTGTCGTTGATTTTGTTGTAGAAATTGGAGGGAAGAGTGCGGGCTCCGGATAGGCGACCGACCAGGAAGTCCTTCCAGTCCTTGTACTTATGCTCGATGGTGCGGGGCGGGATGAGGGGCTTGCCCCGGGTTGCACACCAGCCCACCGAATGCACCTCGGCGTTGCAGAGATTCACCCAAAAGTCATGCGAGTCCGTATCGAATCCCTCGTAGCTCATCAAGGCCTTGTAGCCCTTGATCTCCAGAATGGTGGCCACCCAGAACGAGGTAGGCGTCTGTCCCGGCTGAATAACCTCGATGCTATCGCAGTCGGTGTTCTCCACCTCCACCTTCATGCCCACGCCCAGATTGTCCCATACCTCGCATCCAGGCGCATGGGGAAAACAGGTCACTGGCGCCGCATTGAAGTTCTCCTTGCTGAGGCGGGGCAACCAATCGTACGAGTGTGTGGGATCATACATCCGCCGCCGTATGCTAATGATCTTCTCCATCTGCGGACATGGTGCTGGAAGACGCTCGTACTTGGGTATCTGCGGTAGGTCATCCTGTGGGTAGACATCCTTAAAGAGGCGCAGCGCCTTGGGCGTCGGAGCTGCACTCAAATAGGAGTTGGGTGTGGCCGCTCCCTCCTCGGCGCCTCCAGGAGCAGCAGCATCGCCAACTGCGCCGCCATTCAATGCGGCAATCGTTTCGTCCGCTGCCATTTGTACATTATTGGCAGCTGCATCACCACCTAAGGACATTGGTTCGCCAAAGCTGTTCAACTGGGTAATCTTTGATTGATCCGTGATACGGAAGCGGTAATTGGCATTCTTAATATGCGCCGCCTGCAGATCAAGCTCAATATCCGACTGCGACTGCAGTTGTTCGCCAGCCAAGACCGTTTCGCCGGCATCCGAACTCGCCCCTGCAACTGGGGCACTGGTGCTTGGCTGGCCACCCTCCATCTTGCTATTGAGTACCAACGAATAGAGTTCCCCGCGGGCACAGGCCATGCTGCAAAAGCGCCTCGATTTTGTGTAGAAGGTGTGCTTCACTCCAATGGCTCCACAACGTTTACAGACAGCTGCGGATAAAAAATGAATGATTAGTTCATTTAATAATCCTACTCAATTTTACTGCTAATTTGCCACACAAACCCAAATTCTTTCAAAACAAACTCAAGCCGAAAACTAAATATAATGCAAACTAAAACTTAGAGTAAATCAATTATAGTTTGGAATATATGTACTGTAGAGCGAGTCGATTGTTTTAATATAGCGGGGACGGATATAATAACACTTGGTTTTGCTTAAATTTTACGTTTTCTTCATTTTTTTATTGTTTTTTTTTTTTGCGCAGAGAAAATATATAAAAACTAAATAAATATCGATATGTGTCAAGTCTGAACATTTTACAAATATCTGTGCAATAATAGTCAAGACAAAGTTCTTATACCCCTGCCGATTAAGTTAAAATTTTATATTGTAAAAATAAAACACTATTACCTATAGACTATAAAACAATAAAAAGATGTATCGTCTGAAACGGGTGACTAGATCAAAAAGGTTACTTTGGGTCGTTCTTATAGCAGTTATACGATATTAGTTATCTAAAATTTTAAAACAAAAACCGTATTTGCTGAAGCTCTAAACATTTTTAAGTAGTTTTCATATTTGTCCTATGCTTTAAAGCTGAGAACTTGGCTTGGGACGAGACGGACCTTATTTTATAGGGTCGAAAATGTCTCCATTGCGTTGCAAACCTTTGACCAAAATTATTATATCCTCATCGGTATAAAAACTGTTTAGCTTATATTAAACTTTACTTTAACTTAATCAAAACAAGAGTCATACTAATACGCAGTGTTCGAAACAAAACTGTTTGCCCTCACTTAAATATTATATTCCGCCCCAACACACATTGGTCTCATACAAAATCGATTCACCCTATTGAGGAGCAACCTTACCCATGCCGTCTTTCTGTATGGGAATCACCGATGGGTCAATGTTGCCCTTGTAAGCGATTGGTGTTTTTAGCACCAGTCCCGGCCTGTTCACGGGTTCGATCTTGCGCGTCTTGCGCTGGGAACGCAATGAGGAGGAAGTGGAGGCGCTGCAGCTGGCGGTAGTTGCGGTGGCGTTGGCACCCTTGGCCAGGCTGTATGTGCGCTGCACTTGCTTGCTGGAGCTCGCACAGGGTGCTTCAGTGTTGACCATAATGTTGCCAAAGGCATTGCCGTTGAGAGTGGCCATCGCAGGGGCCAAAGTCGTGCCCAGCAGTTTGTGGTGTAGAAGGCCATCGGCCAGTGGGACCAGCAGATCATGCTCGACTCCGGAGACACCCAAGCCTCCGGGCAACTGGGTCATGCAGGAGGAGGAGGACTGCGAAATGTCCTTGTCCGAGGAGGTCATAAAGTCGGTGCCATCGTACGAATTATTATCCTCGTTCATCATCACAAAGTCATCGATGTTGATGATCTCCTGCTTGGGCTCCAGCCCCGTTCCGCCATCGTCGTAGCCATCATCCAATTGGCCGTACACCTGCTCGTCATCGTCGACAACCGCCTCGCCAACACCCACGCCCATCAGAGCTCCGTCGTGCGCGGCCATGCCCACCATACCGGTATCCACATCGGCATCCATAACCTCGGCATAATTCTGGAAGGCAGCCGCCGCCGCCGACTGCTGAAGCAGTTGCTGCTGCAGACCGCCCATGTGGGCGAATCCGTACAGGTTGTTCGAGTTGGTGGCAATCAGGGTGCCCGGCTGAACACCCAGCGCTGCGGCGGCCGCCGCCGCCTGGCCAGTGAAATCCCCCCCCATCAGGCTCATCATCGGATTCATTTCCTTTTTTTTCAGTTCAGTTGAGCAGGGTGGATTTGGAGATTGGAGGTTGGTTGAGGTTCGATCATTGGTTTTGTGTGTTTTTGTGTCGAGTTTTAAATTGTAACCAATACATAAATCATAGAAAAGAAAGTAGAAGAAATAAGTAAACGAATTCCAATTTTTTAACTGAGACAGGCAAAAATGATAGTTTGTAAATATGGCCAATCCCCAAAAGAGTACATTGTTAAACTTAAGGAACTTGGGTTTGCTTGCAACTCCGATGACTATCAAATATAATGAATGTGACTATATTTAGACTCGTAGCTCTCTTTGTCGTTGATCATTTAATAACAAATTATATTTATTAGTCTTCGAATTGAGAGATTGGCTTGGATTTGGAACTGAACCGTCTGCACTCACCAAAGTGGGCTGATGGGCGGAGAGGTCCTCCATGACAGAGAGTCCAACAGTGGAATGACCCAAAAGATTGGCCGCATCCTCTAGTGTAATTCGCTCCGAGTTGTACTGACTACTCATCCACATCATGCGCAGCTCGGCAGGATTCATTCTGCTGTCGATACTTATCAGAATGTTAAAAACATCTATAAGCGATTTCTTGGATTCTCTTCAGAAAATATGGCTCTTTATTGCGGTGCGTCACATTCCTTAGTTGTATGATAGGATTATAATCGCATTGAAAAATCTCTGAAATAAAGGATTCGTGAGATTAGAAATTTGTTTATAATTATACATTAATACATGTGTTTTGATTTGTGATTTCGCGTCTGTATTTTTGTAAGTTTAATCACATTTAGTAAAGCTCGCAAATCGCGGTACTCTTAAATAGGTGTGTTTTTAATTTTGACATTGCTTGGACTGTTTTTAGATGTTGAGTGTAGACCAAACTTGAAAGACACATTGTATGTAAGTATGTAAGGGATGGGTGCAACAATTAAGCATTTCTTTTAGATATCCAAACAAATCCTTATCAATTTAAAAGTGAGAAATTGAGATACTTGTTATTACAAAAGAATAATCAAATATTCCACATAATTGTTTATGAAAATCCCAAGAGTCCCGGTAAAAGTCCCTGTCATATGGTGCGGAATTCTCCCGACCGATTCCTAGTGTTCCTCGTTGTCCGTTTTGTTTTCCTTTTCCGCTCTTTTTTTTTGTGACTTTTTACACGCAGCTGCTGCGCAAAGAGGAAGGGTAAGGCAATTTGATTAAAGACTTCCGCCGAGGGCTAAATTTCTGGGCAAGTGTTTGCGGCCACCGCCACGCGAAATTGAAGTCTTTTGGCCAATGAACAATACAACAAGATCATTTCCGATTTATCAACATTTTGGTTCCGAGTACACCACTCGCTCGAAAAGTCAATGAAGCGTTTGCGCAGACAACGAACGCGAACACAAAAGAAAACGCACGATGTTGCTGCCCTTGGCTGCAAACTTACACTTTTTTCACGTTTTACGCGTTCGGCTGAAGTTTCAGTCGCTGCTAGCACTTTTTGTGGGCCATTTTAAGACTCTTTTAATGTGTTTAGCGAGGTTTTCGACAGTTTTTTTTGTGAGCTAACTTCTTTAGCATTTGCGCCGAGCAGGGTTGCAATTAATAGCCAGTGTTGCACAATAGAAAATCATATTTTGGCAATTCGCCAGGGCTGCAAGCCTGGGCGCGTTCAGCAGGCAAAAAAAATATCAGATTCGTCACCTATAGGAAAATGAATTATTCATGCCAAATACTAATTTGTTGCACTCTCCTTTTTAGACTAGTCACGTTATTGTCGAATGTGCTTACAATACAGCCGCATCATCAAATGTCAGGGGTATGAGGGAAGGCAGCTGGAATGTGTAGTTAAAGTCTGCAATTTGTAATTTTTTTTTTGGTAAAGTCTAGTAATCAGACCGACGAACAGTTCCTCCAGTGGAATAACTTTGTTATTTCTAGTGTGACCGAAGTTTTGGGAATTCATCGGAACTGTTTGTGCTACGGTCAGATGGGCTTATTGACAAACGAAAAACAACTCAAATTTAACTCAACAGTTTTTCAGTGATGAACTGCAAGCATCGGCAAAACATCGCATAAATTTAAGTCCCTCAAAATCCATCAAATTTGGATTACGGACTAACTGCGAAACTTTTGGAGTGGTAAAACCTTAAATTTCAATCATATTCATGATTTTTAATAAATTAAGCTAGGATTTGCGACAATCCAAAAGTAAACAATTTCAGATCAGCTGTTAGGATGTACTATTAGCATTTAATTAATGTCAACTAATGCACCAATGGAATCACCGCCTGTTAACAACGCATTTAAACTGGAATTTGTATATTTGGCAGTGAATAGTCCAGTGCCTTTTAAAATCACTATTCGCACTGCTGAACGTGCTAGTTTGGCTGTGCACATCCGCCGATTACCAACACTGTTCAACTGGTTTGTTGTTAATAATCAGTATAAAATGACAGTTTTCTTAAGCAATAGACAAAAATAATGCCAGAAAATGGGTATAGCTCGGCGCCCACAGAGGCTGCATTTCGGAGCATGCGCTGCCAACTGGCTGGCAGCACTTTTGGCCAACGACGCGAGGACATCTTTCGTCGCCTTCAGGAAAGTGCGCATCAAGTTTTGCAAGCTTACGGCGGAAAAGAGCTCGCCTCGGACCGTGATGAACTGGTCCAGGAACTGTGCGATTCCCTCGAGGAGCTGCTGTCCTACGGACTGAGGCAATCGACCAGTGCCGCCTTTAGTGCCGCCAGTTTCATCCAGAACATGCAAGAGATGGTGTCCGGAAATGCGGGCGGAGGCAGCAACAACAATGAATACACTTTCTGGGAGTTTTGCCAGACGCATTTGACGCCCCACGAACGTCAGCGATACGAGGACCTTAAGCAGATTTGGACCAACTTGGGCAAGGGGCGTGCTTTCATTCGCGCCTCGCTGAACGAGAGGCGACTGCATAGCCATGTACTTTCCTGGCTGAGCGACGAGGAGAAACTGCATCGTTTCTACACACCCTGGTCGCTGCTGTTAAATGATGAGGCGGCCAAGAAGCTGCCAGAGATCATAAACTCCCTCGGAGATGTTTTTTTCGCACTCAATGTTGACACCACAGAGCTAAATGCGCCCAGGAGATCGGCGGCAACGGTTCCCGCCAGAGAGGAACCTATTATATATGCCCCCGAACCAGTGCCTGTGAGGAGGCGCCAAGAAAGATGTCCTGGCAATGTCGTGGAGAGACCCATTGAGGGCAGCAGCTCCACAGAGGATTTGCTGGGTGCCCTGAGGCCCATTGAGTCGGTGGAGGTGCAGCAACTGCTGTCCAAGGATGCAATTGAATTGGAGTTGGCCAAGTCTGTGGATGAAGTCAGTCTGGGTCCCTTTGATCCCATTGAACCTGAGTTGGAGTTCCTTAAGACGCCCCTGCCAGAGATTTGTCCACCGGCTACTGCCACTGCAGAGCCAGATCTTTTTGAAGACCGCAGCGATACGTCTTCGCAATGGAGTAAGTCCTCCTCCTCTGCGAACTGCGTGACTAACAGCCAGCAACAGGCAGCGCTGGAGCAGCAGATGAATCAGCTAAGCGAAAGATGCGCTTTCCTGGAAACGCGTGTGGCCGAGCTTAATCTTCAGAACCGCCTGCTTATCCGAAGGCTTACCAAACAGTTCGAGGAGACCGGCATCGATCCCAGCTCATCGCTTTGCTCCAACTTCCTGATAACCATTCCACAAGTGAAGCTGACCAAGACGCAGCGATCCGGATCCCACTACACCTACGAGGTTCACATCACGATGCGAGAGCGTTTGGAGCATTGGACGCTGTTTAGGCGGTACAGCGACTTTAACAAACTCCACAAAACACTGCTAAAAACCCATCCGGTGGTGAGTGCAGTGGAGTTTCCACCCAAAAAGCATTTCGGCAACATGAACCTGGTCTTCGTGGAGGAACGGCGACAGCAATTGCAGATATACCTGCTCAATCTGGTTGAAGCCCTGCCGCAAGTTGAGGCCTGCAAGTCCAAAGCCGAGCTGCAGAAGGTCTTCCCCTTTTTCAGGGATAGGTAGCCCTTAGGCAACCTTTGAGGAACGTAAGCCAACTAAACCCAACCAAGGAAGCTCGAAAAGGACAAGTATTTCCCCTTCTATTATTTATATTTTATTGTAATGATCTTTACTTATATGTGTAAAAGCGGAGTTGGTCAAGGTGCTGTAATGATTGATATTAAATAAAGCTAAGACTTTTTCATCTATGGAAGTGCTCAAGGTCAATTACTTTTAATTTTATGGGGCACAAAGCAAAATTGTTTTGTAATATCACGAATCCAATCGTGACTGATTGAGAAAAACGGTTTCGTGACACATTATTGGGTTTTCTATTACAATTAAATTAGCTTAAACTGTAACTATTTAAAACAACTTAAAATAAAAAAATAATAAAAAAATTAGTGGTCAAAAACAATTTTTTTATTCTAACTTGTTAGGTTCTTAAACTGAAATTAAATACAAAATATCATTATGTAATGCATTGAACTAAATATTAATTTCGACATTTACAAACTTTTTCAATTTATTATTGAAATTCTGACCATTATTTTATAAATAATGGGGCATATTATTATTTTGAAATTGGTTAGCTGAGTAAAGGACTAGAAATGCAAATTGTTTAGCGGCTACGCCTATGGCAAAATAATACAGGTTGTAATCCACCTCTCTGGATTATTGGATAACGAATTTAATATAGCGATTTCCGATACTTTTTACCGTTTTGAAAATATCATTTTTCGCGCTTTTGTTTAATTCAAATCAGCTGTTTTGGCTAGAAAATTGCGTAAATATGGTCACACCGTACATTGAACAGCTGTGTTTGTTGTTATCAGCTCGGATATTTGTAAATGCGTGTACTTTTGTCGGCGTAATTGATTTGTGCACCATGATCGAGTGAGCAGCGAGGTATCCACGGATTGCGTATTCCTAATTTTCCGACTGACTCAACACATCCGGAACGCGTGACGTGTTTGCATTTTCGGTGCATTTCTGGATACCTACTAATTGAATTAGTGCAAGGTCGACCATGTCGGCAGTAGCCATAGCCATAAATGCAGCCATTTCGGGCGCTGCCTACTGCATGACGGTGCGGATGATTCCCCGCTTCCGCGAGATGTTCATCAAGGCCAATCTCTTTGGCAACGATCTGTGCAAGAAGGACAAGCCACAGGTGTAAGTTGGGTCGATCATCTTTTGTGAAGCATGACAGTTTCTAACTCGCTTTATTATATCCAACTGCAGACCCGAGTCCTTTGGCGTCCTGATTGGCTGTGTGTTCCTCGTCTCCTTGTTTCTGTTCATACCCATTCCCTTTGCCTTCGATGAGGCGGCTGCCACGGATGCGGTTACCGGCGGAAAGCCAGACACCTTTCCACACGACAAGGTTAGAGTTAATTGAAAAGTGTCCGAATCCGCCACCTAATCGACTGTTATCGCCCGCACAGTTCGTGGAATTGATTGCCGCCCTGCTGTCCATCTGCTGCATGATCTTTCTGGGCTTTGCCGACGACGTTTTGGATCTGCGTTGGCGCCACAAACTGCTATTGCCCACCATCGCCACGTTACCACTGCTCATGGTGTACTATGTCAACTATAACTCCACCACGGTCATCATGCCGAACTTTGCGAGGCATCTGTTTGGAACCTCTTTGAACATTGGTATGTCACTGCAGAGTCTCTTAAGCTTAAGTCAATTCAGTTAATTCAGGAATGATGAACATTCAATTTTTTCTATAGCACGTTATAAATAGAAATTGTTTTCATATCATGCATCATTGGTGTGTTGATAGATACTAACAATAAAAATATATAGCCCCCACATGCTTCAAAATTAAGCATCACAAGAGTCCAGACGTACTATAGTTGTCCAGTTCTCGAGATCTTAACATGTTTACTTTTACTTATTAAAAAATATTATTTTTGTTTAAGGTGTCCTATACTATGTCTTTATGGGAATGTTGGCGGTGTTCTGCACAAATGCCATCAACATCCTGGCGGGCATCAACGGTCTGGAAGTGGGACAGTCATTGATCATTGCGGGCTCCATTTTGCTGTTCAATGGCATTGAATTGTTCCTGGGCCATCAGGTGGATTCGCATATATTCTCCATTTATTTTATGCTGCCATTCCTGGCAACCACTCTGGCGCTCTGGAAGTTCAACAAGTAAGTCTGCCTTTTGTCTATCCAATTGATTTTTATTCTTTAAATACTGAATTGATCTGGCAAGTTAACAAATGTTTCTAAATGTAATTATATTAATATTTGCATAGTAAACTTATGAGACAAATTGTAACCAAATTCGTAGAAATTGGTTTGCTTTTAATAATATTAATATTTAATATTCAAAAGTAAATCTAAAAAGCTTTTTTCGTACAGATCATGTGGCTGTACATTAGTGTACCTTAAAAACAATACAAATTTTGTAAACCAAATTTCACAACTGATTTGCAGCACATAATGAGATCACTCCCTTTGTTGCTAACTTCGGTTTGCTTATATAAATTCATTGTTTAGTTCTGGTTTTCTTATCACAGATGGCGGCTCTCTTTCTGCCCTGTCTGCTGAGATACTAAATTTGGAATTCGCTGGCCAAAAACACAGCAGGGCATGTGCATGAGTGGACTAGGCAGCTAATGATGTGATGATAATGAGATCGTTAGGCTTTGATGGGGTTCGAATTGATATTATGTTAGTCCTCCTCTTGCAAATCTTCTAGAACGTCCGCATCGTAGAGATTGACTAACAGCTGGCCATACTGGCTGCTGTGGGTTAGTGCCTCCTCCGGAGCAAAATACTTTTCGCTCTGCTCCCGCAAGCGGAGCAACTGCGAGGTGCCATCGATGTGACCTCCATTGGCTATCAAAAGCTGCACATAGGCGGCATCGATGTGCGCATTTCGGGTGTCGTTGGGCAGCTTCACAGGTAACTTTTGCCGATTGGAGCTCTGCAGCAGGAGCACAATCTGTTCGGGCGGCAGACACAACTCGCAGTTCCATCCGCCGTAGTGGTTGAGATCGCCCAACGTGCTGCTTGCCAGCCGTTGCAATCGGTGGGTGTCCAGTTGGGCACTGTAGAGATGCCCCAAGGAACTAATTACCCCCTTCAACAGGGTCTTTTTTGGATGCTGCCAGTAGAAACCGTAGACGTTGTACTTCAAACGGAATGTCAGTGGCAGTACATCCTTGGCATAGTATTTGAGAAACTTGAGAGCCGCCGGCGCATAGACACTTCCACTGTCCCCGTGGAGCAGCAGATCCTGGGCTTGCATTTGCATGCCACACTGCTGCCACAGCTGCCGCCTGAAGTGGCTGAAGGCCTTTGCGCTGCTGCACTCGCCCTCGGAAGCGCAGCGGTGCAGCACGTAGTTGGTTTGTTCGCCCAGCATGCTCGCCAGCATCCGCTCCTTGCTGGCGTTGCTCACGTAGTAGATGAGAAAGTAGTCAACCACCTCGATGAGGGCTCGAATCTGCAACTCGAGGAGCTCCAGACTGAGGTGTTCCCAGGCTCCCAGTTCCAGCATGTAGAACAGGCGATGCAGAGACGTGGAACTGGCCACAGTCAGTTGAAGGGGTATGCTGCCGCTGCGTTTGCTGACCCGACTGGACGTCATCAGGGCTCGCCATATGATCTCGGGCTGGCCGCAATCCCTGCCATGCCAGCCGCTCTCACATTTGCACTGCGGCTGGGTCATCAGGTAGTCCACATCGTTGGGGCGCAGGCTCTCGTTGATGGTGCCCTCGCGATAGCACCAGAGGGCGGGCGTCAGGCCCATCTCGGCGTCCACATAGGCGGGCACATTGTAGTCCGGCAGGTGCGATTCGTTCTGCGGTTCCGTCTTCATTTGGTAAAAGTCCCTATCGTAGCGGTTGACATTTTCCTGCTGCTGCTGCTGGGCACAGCGCGTTTCCGTTTGTCCACTTGTCGGTGAGGATTTGGATTTCCTTGCTCCGCCGACGGTCACGAAGTTCACCCGGCCGCCCATCTGCCCATCCAGGGCACTCCGCTGCTGCTGCGAGTCCGGGGAGCGACCCATCTGCAGCAGCCAGATGCAGCCAATGAAGCCCACCTGCAGCACCAGCACCGTCCAGAGCACCAGCTTTTTGGTTATGGCCAGGCGGCCCATGCCGGCTCCTGTTGTCTGGGTGTGGATGTGGCTGTGGATGTGGCTGTGGGCTGCCTGGATCTGGATTGTGCTCCGCACCATGGTTTTTGGTTCACTTTCTGCAGCCTTTTCTGCTCATTTCCGTCCAGTTTTTCTTAACTTTCTCGCTTGCCTGCGACTCGCTAACACGCCCAAAAATTTTACGGTACCTTTCCGACAGCTGTTGCAAAACATCTCTCTCTCTCTCTCTCTCTCTCAGTTGCTCTCAGCTGTTCGCCGCTGCAACGGGAATCTGGCTATTTACAGCCAAATTTAGCTTGAATTAGAACAAAGAGGATGATTTTCGGGGTGCTTCACAGCACTGGTATTTTCACCGCGAAAAACTCGAAACTTCGAATATTTTGTCAGACATGTTTATTAACAGTATATATTTTTGCGATCAATTAATATCAACTCAAAAAAAATTCTCCAAATCCATAAATTAGATCAAAACTTATAAATTGCTTAAGGTAATCAATATGGTTGACAAAATCATTGCTAGAAGATTAATTTATTCCTTATAGTCAAATTGTGCCCCTTTCTTTGCCTTGCCATACGAAAATTGATTTATAGCTTGTTTCATTTTATTCTTCAGTCGTTTAGAGTTAATATAATAGATATAAAAAATTATCAAAGATATTCTGTATCAAAAAGCACACTCGCTTATTTTGGCTTTTGCCTTTAAGAACTTTTTTTAATTCGATTTAAATTTACATATATTTATTTTCTTTTATGTTATTATATTTTACATAAAAAAAGAAAAGACAAATCAGTTTCTAATGATAACAAATTTTCTTATTTACCAGATATCCATCGCAGGTGTTTGTTGGAGACACGTACTGCTACTTTGCGGGCATGACCTTCGCCGTGGTCGGCATCCTGGGGCATTTCAGCAAGACCCTGCTCCTGTTCTTCCTGCCACAGATCCTGAACTTCCTGTACTCCACCCCGCAGCTGTTCCACTTTGTGCCCTGTCCCCGCCACCGGCTGCCCAAGTACGACAGCAAGACGGATCTGCTGCACATCAGCACCACGGAGTTCCGATTGGAGGATCTCAACACTCCGGGCCGTCTGATGGTCACAGTCCTGCGGAATTTGCGACTGATTAGCTGGCACACCAAAGCGGACGGAGTCGTCAGGACCAACAACTTCACCCTCATTAACTTTGTGCTGGTCGTCTTTGGACCGGTCCATGAGCGAGTGGTTACGCAGATGCTGATGGGCTTCCAGATGCTGTGCACACTGATTGCCCTGACCATTCGCTACCCGCTGGCCAACTACTTCTACGCTAAAACTTAACCCTCTCGATCCTGTTCCTCATTGAGTATAGTGTACATTGTAGTAAGCCTTTGCTAAGTTAACTTTACAAACAGAATTCTTGTATTTAATGCCTACACAATATATTTTCCGAAAGTAAATCATATTAACACGTCAATAAACAACCAAGCGAGTTGAATCAAAATCGTCATGGCCACAACGGAGTTGTCGGAGGAGGATCTTTCGGCTCCCGAAGAGGAGGAGGACGTGGGACCCAACATTGGCGTAAGCATAAAATGGTTTATGTTTGTGGTACACATTATGGGATAAACGAAAATCTAATTATAGAAGAAATGGCTTCACCCGCCCTATTTGTATAGCCTGTCATTGGATTCATTTTTAAAGTCTTGCAGTTGGTGTTAGTACTTTTAAAATTTGATCTGTTTTTATATTTGATATGTAAGCATAAAGAAATTAAGTAGGGTATTATTCAATTCGAAATTGGTATTGTCAATAACATGAGTAAACGTAATCATTTTATTCCTGTAGAGGGTATTATAATTTTAGTAAAGTTTATTTTGAATAATAAATAGAAAAATAGATGGTTTTAAAAAAATGCATAAAAACCGGATGACTCTATCATAACTGCCACATAAACGATATATATATATTTTGAATTAAACAATTTCAAAAATAACATTGATAAAATAATTTAAAAAATTAATGATATTTATTAAATATTTGTTAGATAATTTTTTCCGGTAAAATCAAATAGGATAAACCCTTCTAGAACTGAGCTCTTAAACGTTTAAGGCACATCCTAATGCTGATCAAGAATATTAATACTTTTTAGGATGGCAAACGTCTTATTATTTTACCCGACCACAAACATACAAATCCGTAGAAATATAAATATATTGTCCCCGTTTCCCAGCTCTATATAGGCGGTCGCAATGCGGCCGGACAGAGACACGGCAGAGGGTGGGCCATCCTGCCCAACGGGGATCAGTATGATGGGAACTACCGGAAGGGTCGCCGCCATGGAATCGGGCTGTACGTGTTTAAGGACGGAGCAAGGTACTACGGGCAGTACCGCTGCGGCAAACGGTGCGGGCGTGGCATCTTCATCTATCCGGACGGATCCGTGTACGAGGGCAACTGGCGCAAGCACGTGAAGCACGGCAAGGGGCGTTACAACTACGTGAACGGGGACACCTACTCCGGCGACTGGTTCAAGGGTCAACGGCACGGGGTGGGAATCTATCGCTTCAACAGCGCACCCGAAGTCTGCTGCCTGTCTGTGCGATTGAAGTCCACCTGGAACAGTAATGTGCGTACGGGTCCTTTCGAGCTGTACATCGGGAACGAGGACAAGTGCACGATTCTCCATGGAACTTGGGACACGTTGTACCCAAGTGGACCGGCTGTGTTTAGTTTCAACAATCGGTACCTGCTGCTGGGCTACTTCCTGCCCGCCAACTACAACTTCAGGGCGATTGGCAACGAAACGGAAGTGGAGGACATTGAGGAGCCGTTGGAGGACGACGAACAGGGCTCCGATGAGGCCATGGCACCAACCCTTTGGTTTGCCCAGGAAATGGCCGTCTATGACTTCTCGCTGCTGCCGCAGGAGCCGGTTCCCCTGGCCATTTCCGACTCGGAGCTGTCCGTTTGCTCGCTGTCCACTGTGCCGAGCAGCCGCAGCCAGGAGCGGATCAGTTGGTACGGCGAGGGTGAGGAGGCCGAGGGCGAGGAGGGCGGCGAGATGGAGTGCTTTCCCTGCGAGTGCGACCTCACCGATCTCAGTGAGGTGGAGACGGAGAGCGAGGTGTGCAAGATCGACGCCAATCCGTGTGCCATCGAGATCCTCAAGCAGCCCGAGTGCCCCGATCCCTAGAATGGAGACTGGTCAGTCACAGCCACATCCACATCCTTTCGTTATTGTTTTGTTCGTTTACTGGGAAATAAAAATGTATCCATAAGTCGTTAAATATGTTTTAAATCCAAAGCCGAAACATAACACTGTCCTACAAATTTAAATCGACTAAATCCTCCAGGGATAAAAGCTTGATTTTTTTTTTTAAGTTTCAATAACGTTTTTCACATGTTTTTATGCCCATTTTATTTTTATCTCCAGTTGTGCCTAACCAAAATGGGTTATCAATTGCTTATTTTACTGCCAATAAGGATACGTTTTCTAATATAGAGCTCGACAAAAAGAAGTATAAACTTAAATTTTTCCAATAAAAAATTACTATATGAAATACATGCCTATTTTAAATATAAAATATTTTCAGTTTTTTAGGCGCGTATTTTTTAAGAATTATTTTAAGTCTTACAACTTCAGTTTAAGCTAGTTTTACAAACTTTGGCGATCTCTAGCATATAATAGGAAACATATCCTTATTACAAGTATTATAGAGTTGAAGAACATTCTTTTTGTAGAGATAAAAACTATAAAAAAAAAGTAGAAAAACAGGTGTATGCATTAAACGTAAAAAAAAGTAATGCTAGAGTCAATTTCTAAGTCAAACTGGTACCGGAAATTTAAGGTTTGATCTCTGGAGTATTTTCTCGATTTAAATTTGCAAGCCAGTGTAATTTAATTGTTTATTAATAACCTGCAATGGAAATTATCTCAGTTTAATAAAGACTATATTTTACCACAAAAACTGGGTGCCACTTGATACATTTTATTCAGCTAGAAAGGTATTATATGCATATTGCTTTATAGTAAACTTTTTATTTTAAAGATCCTGTTTTTTCTTTCACACAATATGATTAAAATTTGTCGCTTTCATTTTAAAATACTTCATTCTTTTTACAGTTCTGATACTTTACACTCGTTACGCAATGAAATCACAAATGGGGTCGCTTTTTAAGTATTATTGACATGATATCTAAGCGATAGATTCCAGGTATGAGTTGATCTCTATTTTAAATTCTTTAAGCTTTGATTTTGATCATCTTTCTGTATAGTCGCATGACTTGCTAGTGTTCAGCACTTGAATTCATATGTTTTGCTAATTAACTCTAAGTGTAATTATTGTTTTCTGCCTTACCATTGTATCGTAACCATTAACATTAACTTTATCTGCAGATCCGTTGGATTTACTAACGTCTACAATTTATATTTTCGTTAGATCTCATTATAGCTACTAATTAAAAATTTAAAAAAAAAGAAACTCTAAGTGCAAGAAGGCAGCCCATCCTTCTGTTGAGGAGATGATGGTAAGGCGTTGACCAACTTGCTGCTGACCTGGCAGACATCACCGCAACTGGCGTCCGAGCTGTTGGACTCACAACTAGACCCGGATGGAGGAGTCACACTAATCGCTTCGTCGGCTGCCTTGCCGCATTCATCCAGAATGATATTTAGGTTTTCCGTCCTCGCCTGCATAGCAGCAGGTCCAACCGCTGTCCCCGACGTGGTCTCCACGGGATTTAGACGAAGCATTTGATAGGGCGCTTCACCTTCCTTCTGCAGCTCGTGGAGAGTGCTGCCGTCCAGCTGCTTCGAGATCTTGTAAATGGCCGGACAGGATTTCGAGTTCTTCACATCGTTGGAGTCCTTCAGTTCGGGCAACCTCTTCAAGGGCTGCATCTCCTGCTCTTGGTTATTGTCCTCCAAGCTAATGGCCTGCGACAAGGCCACTGCTGCCGCCATAGCCGCCGCCTGACCACTGCTGCTGGCTCCCTCCGGATTCATATAGAGCAGCGGGGCATTGTAGAGCAGCAGGTCGGGTTCCATTTTAAAGTCGTGCTCCAACTGCTTTTGCTGGTCAAGATTCTCATCGATGTAGTTGATGTGAATGGGTGATGTTTGCAAATTAAGTGGCGAAATATGCAGCAGGTCATCATCCGGTGGGGTATAATAGATCGATGCCTTGCTGGCCGAGTAATTGGTAGATAGGCGCGCTTTTATTTTTTGTATATGCAACTCCTTGGAGCCGGCAAAGTCCATTTGGCCCTTGAAATAGCAGTCTATGTCTGTAAAATGTGATATTATAAGTAACAACACCTATTATTTAAAGCCGACTGAGTGTGATCTTACCCTCAGCTAGGTCTTCCTCACAGCCACCGCGACAGTTCTCGAAGTAGAAACTGGGCAGGTTCTCCAGCACCTTGTTCAGCGTCTGCTGTTGGTACTTGTATCCCTCCCGCAGGCGCAGCACCTGATGCGCACTAAACTTCCGGATTTTGTTCCGCTGGAAGACATAGTTTTCCCGCACCCAACTCAACTGCCCAGTCGAGTAGTCGCGCACCTTCTTCACCTGATCGTAGTATTGATCCTTCAGTGTGGTTAGATGATTCGAGCCTATGTCGCGGAACTCGCGGATGTGCTTGGCCTGGCTGGTGTAGCTGCTTTGGATCCACTCCACCTGCTGGGCGCAGTTCTCCCGAATGCGATGCACTTGCTGTGCGTAGTTCTCGCGCAGTCGCTCCAACTGCTGGCTCTTGTACGTCTCGATGCTGTCCAGCATGGCGTATATTTGGCGTGGACGCGGTGACTTCTTCGTCCGATTGGCGCAGCAATAAAACCGATCGAAGATGCCCCAGCGGGACAGGCAGCTCCTCAGTCCTTGGACCATCAGCGTGAGCAGAAGGAATGCGGTGGCCAGGGCGGTACCAAATAGTATACTCCCGATTTTCACTCGATAGAAGACAATGGGGTCGATGTACAGTCTGCAAAATTGGTCATACGATTCTAGTTTATATTTAAGCAATGAAAGAAGCACCATCTATCCGCACCTTAATCCCGCCGAGGCCTTTCCCATGACATTGAACGCATAGCAGGTGTACAGGCCACTGTCAATCCGGGATATATTGTGCACCAGCAGCGATCCGTTCTCCACCAGCACCACGCGCTGACCCACCAGACTCTGCTGTCGTGTCCAGTTCAGCGCCTGGATGTAGCTTTCGTCCATCAGAGCAGCCAACTCCTGCGCACTTGGTGGCTGGTGGGCATCCTCCTTGCTATCGATGATGATCGGCCGCTTGTCCGGATCGGCATGGTGGCGCAAAATCTTGTAGCGCGGAGTAACCTGTGAAATGTCAAACGATCGACAATAACTAGGGTTTGCAATAATAAAAAAACCTATGCTGAAAATTGTAAAAGCTTTCATTTTTAATTGATTGTTCTTTTGAGGCAACCTCTAATTCAGGTCTAACGACGTTCCATTTCTTAATATATTATGCTATTTCCATAAATTAACGGTTATGATTGAATAATGAATACCTACATTTTTTTTTAAATTTTAAAGCCTTACGTGCGCATTAAATATTAATTTCTAAGGGGGCAAAAAACCATAATAAAATGGCAGCTACCTGACTTTTCACAGCCAAGTAAATAATACATTATTAGGTAATGCTTTTAAAATTGTCGAGCAACAGCACAGCTAAAGTAGAAAATGCTTTCATTTGAAAATTAAGTTAGCTTACAGCAACAGCACAGCACTAATTAAATTACTTTTGGTTTCTAGTTCATGGGATTTCAAACCCTAGAGAAATCTGTTTTTGTTAGTATTTAATTATATTTCCTTCATTTATTCAAAAATTCTCTCTTATAAAACAAAAAACCTGATAAAATCTACAATATGTTAAATAAATAAGGAAGCAAACTTGGGCTTGCCATTGAAACTATTACAGATATATATATATAAATATTATAAAATAAAAATATATATTTCGATTTCGATTCGTGTATTTTTAAAATAAAATAAAGATTTCTTTAAAATGTTATTAAAACGTTATAAAAATTTTGAGTATAGAAAAAGTCAAACTTTAATTATTCTTCCAATGGATCATCATTGAAATACTCACCCAGATGATGTCCGGAACTGGGCTGCCGGAGATCTGGCACTCGAGCTTGGCGGTGGAGAGGAGCTTGTGCATTTTGGGCTCGGAAAACTGCACCACCGATGGCACCGAGCAGTTGAGATTGCTCAGCACGCGCAGCATGTCGCCGGGATAGCCGTACTGGCACTTCAGCGCCTCGATTTGGTCGTCGATACTTTCGTACGGCTCCAGCGGAGTCTGGCTGGGATTCGCACTGCCAGTGGCCAGCGCCTGAGCCTGCGCCTGGGGCAGGAGGTGACGCAGACTAGTGTTCGAGCTGGCCAGCCAGGCCGACAGCCAGTACATGCTGCAGTCGCACTGGTACTCGTTGCCCAATATATTGAGGTAGTGCAGCTGTCCGAGCTCCTTGATACTTTCGGGCAGCGACGCCAATCTATTGCCACGGACACTGAGGCGCTGCAGCCGCGACAATCCCGAGATCTGTGTGGGCAGCTGCAGCAATCCGTTCTCGGCCAGCAGTAGCTCCCTTACACTCGGAGTATTGGCGAAGAGGGTAGCTGGCAAATGAGTTAGATGGCGATTCTGCTGCAGCGAGAGGTAACGCAGGCGATGCAGCACTTGCGGATCTACAAACGACTCATCGTAACGCGATATCCAGTTGGAGAACTGCTCAATGGGCGTCTCATCGATGCGCAGCAGAACCAGGGAGCGCTGTCGCTGGAACAGGCCGCTGGGCAGCTGCTTGAACTGGTTGCGACTGAGATCCAACTGCCGGAGGGCATGCAGTGACTGGAAGATGATGGATGACAGCAGGGTCAGGTTGTTGCCGGACACGTTCAAGGCGAGCAGCTGGTCCAGGGACTCAAACGCCTTGCGATCGATGCTGGCCAGCGAATTGTGGCTGAGGTCCAGCTGCCGCAGTTCACGCAGACCATACAGACTGTGCTTGCCGATGGACTTGAGCTGATTGCGCTGCAAGTGCAACTGACGGAGCTGACCGTTGCGGACGAAAAAGTTATCGGGGAAGGAGAGGAGGCGGTTGTCGCTGAGATCCAAGACCTGGAGGTCACCAGCTGTGTGGAAGAGCTGAAATGGCAGAACGCTCAACCGATTTCCGGAGAGATATAGCCGCTCCAGCTTAACGGCTCCCCCAAATGTATCCCGGGGAAGCTCAGTCAGCCAATTCTGGCTAAGATTAAGCATGCGCAATTCTCGCAGTTCGCCCAGGAAGCGCGGCACGATGCTCAACTCATTTCTGTCCAAGTGCAGCTCCTGCAGGCTCTTCATGTGCTGCAGGCTCATTAAACTGCAGTTGGCCAACCGATTTCCGCTTACTTTCAGCACTTTCAGGCGTTGCATCGCCTGCGGAAGGATCCAATGAAAGCACACCAGGCGATTTTCAGCGAGATTCAGCCTTTCCATGTACTCAAAGCAGTCGGGTTGGCGGCTAAAGAGCTCCGTAAGCGATTCATCCCTTAGGTCACTCTCGCGCCAAGTGAATTCCCTGACGCTCTTGTTCTGCGCCAGCTGCAGTGGATTACTGAGATCCGCTGGCACATGGACCAGCATCAGTTGATGGTAGTTGATGTGCGCACTCCTCGGCGAGAGCAGTTCCCGATTCACTTGCCTTAGCCCCACACGATCGCAGCTGAGCTTGAACACATTGTCCGAGAGATCCAATTGACCATCCAAAGGAATTTCGTGTTCATCAACCTCCACGCTATCCGATCCGGCATCCTGCGCGTCCAGCCACAGACCCTCATCACAGTCACTATCATCTAGATCCGAATCAACTGCATGCCCCACGAACGGCAGGTGGAACTTGTAGCCCAGCAGCGAGAACTCGTGCTCCTGCCAGGTCCTCGTCCTGGTCCGGATCTGCGGACGATGCTGCTGCGGAGTGAAGGCCAGCGAAGCATCGGCGCTACTGTAGGTGGCCCGGCAGTTGGTACTGTCACTGCCACTGCCACTGGTGGCCACTGCTGCGGTGAACAAGACGAACAGGCCACACAATATCAGGGGAATCTTCGATATTGCCTCCATTTTTCAGTATGTAATCTCAAATATTTATATGGTCGCATAGTACACCTGAAATAGGAAAAAGTATATATGGTAATTGTCATTGATAATAGTCGGTATTTTCATGATAACTACACACAATTAAGTGTCATGAACTGATTGCATTTTCGATAATACCCACTAAGCTCATCGCTAACTTCTGTTCAAAATTGGTTATTATTGATTTTGCCTTTGGCTGCTCAAAAGGAAAGCTGTCTGAAGTCTTAACTGATTAAAATCAATAAGTTGGGTAAATATTATAAATAAAACTGTGGCTGCCGGTGGAAATGGACGCCGAGTCCAGTTGCGTGTCCAAATGGCGACGCACAACTGGTAGCCAGAAAATGTGTGGAGCTAAAAAGGTGAATACTTAAGGGCGTTCCTTCTGAATAATGCATTAAAAACATAGTATCTGTCTACCGGATTGTGCAAGAGTTCGTTCTTTCCCATCTTCAATTTTCTGTTAGCACGCAACAAAAACTTTTAAATTAAAGGCATGGGAAGAAAGAACTTTTCTTTGAACTGAAATTTAATGAAGGTATACATAAAGTGTATTAACTATTTAAAAAAAAATTATCTCTTATTATTTAGCTTTTATTTAAATGATTAAACTTAGTAAATTCTATTGTGATTTTCTTATGTAACTAGAGCAAAGCAACTTGTCAGATTGATGCATAATATCTGAATTATTTAATCCAGATCGCTTTAAATACGCAATGTGTTATTATAATTTAGCATATATTTGATTTCCTTACGGCGACCTCTTCGAGTTTATTTACAAACAGAAATATCGAATGAATTGCCAGCCAACCAAGAACCACAACCTGCATCAACAAAGCAATTACGCTCAGTTCAGTTTGCAAGATTATTACTCAATGGGGCATTCGAAAGACGGCGAAACTAAAAGGGAAATTATTGTTTATCTATGTACATACTTGTACCCAATGTCGAGAGTGACCGAACGACCCGGTGCCACGTCGTATGTGGCAGGCGTGAAGCCAAAGCTTTTCCATTTGTTTATTTGCATTGTTAATGGCCAGCTGTTGCGGGCAAAAAGCAGATAAGAGCCAACGAACCTATAAAACGAAGTCTCCTATTTATTGATAAGCCATGGCGGCTGGCGAAATCTGATCAAGATGAATGGCCGAAGGGGATTTCAAATAAATCACAATATTGTTATTGATAGCAAATATTTAAGCCACAAGCTTTGATTTCGCAAGAGGTGCCACTGCGATTTTCGCACATTGTAAAAATCAACCCAATTCTGCGCTTGGCCAAAACAAATGCAAAAATAACTAAAACAAACGTCACAAAAATCACGGACAGCAAGCAAGGGGCAACACACACATGCAAATAAGGCGAATAAAAAAAACTGCCACGAATCTTAGACAATAATTAAATTAGTAAGAAAATGGAGTGTTACCATACAATAAGCTAAATCAATGCCAATCAGCTGATATAGCAATTAGGCAAATTATTGGAGTACCAAGAGCGCGGAGTCTTTAGTGAGCTAGTAATCAATTTAAATGTCGTTTTTAATTGAGTAAAAAAGTTGAAAGAATTGGAAACGGCCGAGAGAACGATAGAGTGGGGTTGCATAATCAGGCAGAGAATCCAAGCTTTAAACAGGGAAAATACAAGCGTTTAACTTGGGATTTAATGTATGTATGTACATACACGCTCGCACCTAGGCGCACACACACACACACAGCAACTGCTGACGTCTAAAAAGCCGCTAATGACGGCAGGCAGAAAAATACCAATTGGCAGCCTTTTTTTCTTTTGGGAACGCTGAACCATTTAAGAAATTTAGCTTTCCGCCCACACTCATAATTTATACATCACTTTTCTATTCCTTTACCTTGGATCTCAGGCGAGTTATATGTGCAAAATGCAGCAGAGGTTGCCAGGGAAAAGTGTGTGGCTATGATTTCGAATTACCGATTATATTACTAAGGCGAATTGTGCAGCTAAACGGAGAGCAAACAGGAATTTTATAGCCTCCAACACTTCTCATTTTATATTTTTTTTAACCCTTTGTGGCCAAGCAGCCGTTTATGCTACACATGCACGAGCACCTGTCCTGCAGACGGACTTAAGATGGCGCAACCGAAGGAGTTTTCCCACGAACCACAACCAAACCCATGCACATAAAATAACACATTTTACATTGATTTAAAAATATTATCTCACCGTTGTTTATTTTCTCTGCATCTTTTCGCTTCTTTTTTCGTCTAGGGTGCAGTGTGACCGTAACGTGTCACTTAAAGCATACCAAACGCAAACTAGAAGTTTCCTAAAATATACCATGTATTTTTTAGATAAAGGCAATAAATATATCAAAAGTCCAGTGTTGTACATCGACTAAAGTCTGGTTTCCACTATTCAGTACTTTACGTTATACAGATTTCACACAACCGCTCAATACCCTCTTCCCACACAGTATATCCATAGGAGTGCACATCCAACATCCGCCATCCGATAACAGCTGATTTTTAAAGTGTATTCTGAGAGACTAAAATAAATAAAATATCAATGGAAGCTATTTGTTATAGCTGTCCGAATTTAATAAAATTAAAATCACAATTCCAATATTTCTAACCATTTCTATATCTTGAAAGAAATGTATTCCTCGCTGCGTGACAAACTTCTGACTGAAAATATAATCCCCTGTGTAAACAAAAAGCTTTAAATCTTTGTTAAAGCATTTAAAAACTGAATTTATTTAGTCGATCGCAACATTTAATTCCAGACATTTTAAAAGTTGAAAGTCCGATCATCTCGACTTTTTTTCCTCGTTAAGAAGGGTTTTTGTTTGACTCAAAACTATTTTTCAAAAAGCATGTAATTAAAACATAATAAAATATTGGTATTAAGTTTTATTTTATTCAGATCACAATTAATATTGCTGTCTTAAAACTACTGTGTTGCGCATCAACACATCAAATTATACAAGCAACTAGCCTTCTAGTAGTACGACTTTTTTGAAATAAATTATAAAAAATTGGTCTTTTAAAAAAGTTTTAACAATTGCCACTAAAAGTGTGCATACTAAAAACTGTATCCGCTTTTCCATAAATTGTTCATATCATATACATATAAAAATGTTGTTTTAAGGCAAAATTTGTAAGTCACGTTCTTGATTGCATACAGCGTCTAGTTTAATTTGTATTTTGTATATATTTATGTATAGTTGTAAATAAACTAGTTTATTTTATAGCCATCGAAAAGCTGCGATGATGAAATGTATTAAAAATGTCTTTTTGTTTGGATGTGGTACAAAAATCAGTTGCTCTTTAAGCTTATTTATCAAGTAATTAACATTGTTTTGTGTAAATTTTTAAAAAGTTATCCGACAAGCCAGTGCTTAATATTCAGTAATTTGTTTTGTTTAGTATTTAGGTATACGTAAGGCTCACTCGTAGTACGTTTAATTTGTGGCGAGATCAATGAATGCATGTATTTTTATGCGCTCTAATGTGCGAGTGTGTGCAGGTGTGTATAAAACACTAACTAAAACTATAAAAATCAACTATCAATAACAAACATGCAACTTATAACTATGCCATTTGCTCAGTTAACTTAACAGGTATGTAATCTGCTCTCACTTAAAGCTACTTCGTTGTGCAAAACATTTCAATAATAATAATGATAACAGTTGAAGATGACATTCAGCAAGTTAAGGCTGCTTGGTCCAAGTTTCCTATATACAGTCCGCTGGGCAGCGAATCTATGTGAGTTTCTTGGCCCATTTCAGGTCGTCATCGCGGGGCTTTAGGCCCGTAAAATGCTCGATAATAAGCTCGAATGTTGACCAGAATCTGTAAGGGGCATCGTTAGATGGTTAGAGCAAACTTCAATTATTCCCATTTTTAGGTCACACCTGATGCGTTCCAGTGGCCAATTAAGCCATCCGGTGGTGATGCAAAAGTACGTCTCATGCGGTGCCACATGATGGATGCGATGGTGCTTGCGTGGCAGGATTATGTGACAGCTCTGGAGTAACAGGACCCACCTCGGCAGTCCCCAGTAGGTGTGCGACCATTTGTGTATCTTCATTGAAGTAAATAAACAAATTAGAACCACTAGTATAGGAAAAATAGTGTTTAAGCCTTGCCTGATTGGTCATGGCCACGAATATGGAGCAAAGAAAGACATAGGCTATCCAGCCGAAATGCTGCTGAATTTCGCTCGGTGACCTGATGTAGAAAAAGTGCGCCAAATAGCCGAGGATTGGTATGCCAACCATAAAGTTGTCGCCGTTCGTCTCAATGAAATCGTGACGTGTGATTGATGTGGGATCCAGATGATGCTCTCGAAATGGACGCAGAAAATTCTACAAAAATATATATTTAATGGTCTTCAAAGCATTGGGTTTCTCTATCAATTACTCACTTTTCCAAGCAGTGGAAGATCCACGGATCCCCATGTATCTGCTGCCCAGTGCACCAATCCGGAGGCAAAATCAGCCGTGATGATGCCACACAAGGCGGACAAAAAGGCCACACTTATCCGCTCCAGACGCAGGTGCCTCACAATCAGGGCCAGGTTGATGATCATCAGGCCAATGCAGGTGTACACGCATATGATTTCCTGAGCGCGCTTTCCTGTTAAGGGAAAATTAAGAGTTTTTTGGGATACCAAGCCAATAAATAAACAGAACAGCAAAAAGATCACCACTTGAATTTCACTTTTTTGACATATAAAGAAAACAGCTTAAATGTTGCAGTTTTGGTTAGTCTTATTTAATACCAATAAAGTCAGACAGTTTAATAATTTAAACTAAATTCTTTTTGTTATAGTTTAAGTTATAGTTATAGTTCCCTTTGTTTTCGTAACGTGGGGCTCATGACATCTATGAGCTATGATCTGCTTGATTCATTAAAAATCAGTAACTAAGAAAGTGACTCGTAAAACTCAACTTTATTTTTGCACATTTTTAAGAGTGTTGGCATAAAGTCGAGTCATTTATAAGCCAGTAGTTAAGCTCGAGTTGGCTTTTTACGATAGTCATGAACTAACAAACAAAAAAATTATATTATTTTATATTCTCATACATTTTCTTTAAAAAGGCAGAGTCAGGTTAAGCTTTTATATAAATGTTATGAAAGTTTGACTTGTTATACTAGAAAGAAATTAGGCAATGATCAGTTTTTAAAAAGAGATGCTTGGCAATGTCTTTTTTTTCTTATAGTTTCCACAATTAAAAAGAAACAACAAAATGTAAATCTAAGGCTTTAGGCTGGTAATAGTAGCCCATTTTTTGTAATGGTAATTATAAAAATAATACATTTGTATATATATATATTATTTATCGTGTGTGAATTGAATTGACACTTATAAAATTTTTATATTTAAAAAAATTCTCGTCAGTTTTTGTAATTGTTAAAAGTCTAGGCAAAATAACAATATTTTTAGCCTTTTTTTAAGTCAGTGAAGTCGGTTTCATTATTGATTATTCGTACAACTGGGAGATATATTTAACTCTAAAATGATACTACCCCTTGTCAAGCAAAAACACAGACTTTCCTAGATTCAAAAGGGTTATTCTGTGGGAACAGCTCACCTGGACTGTATAACGAGGCCAGTTCCTGGGCGCCCTTATTCTGCGGTCCCCAGCGCGGAGAGGCTATGTCCGGGTTATGGGATGTGGTTGTGGCGCCAGTGGTGACCTTAAGTACCTCCTCCGGCTTATCCGATTCCTGGTCCTTTGTGGTTGTGGGCGCTGAGTTGCCATTTGGGTCATCCTCGTACATGGAGTTGGCCAGAATGTCCCTATCGCTTTTGGCTGTCATCGTCTGCGGGGGTTGGGAATTGAAAGTGGACGAATAAACAACTTGAAGGCCTTGATGACGGTTCCTGACTGATTGACAATGCAATGCCTGAATTCAATGTCAGGCAGGCCACCGGATTCGATTGCCTGTGAACAGGGGCATCTGGATCAATTGGTCGGGTCTACATAATTAACGATTGCGAGGGCAACACAATCAGGTGGGTTGGTACATTTATAAAATATACATTTAAATGATTGTTTTTTAATTTTTTTTAACAAGTTTAGAAAAAGAAGCGTAACCGAAGGACTACTGACCGTCGCGTAGCTCCCACCAATGACCTCTGGTCAGGGATATCCCATCATGTGGCGGCGTTGATGTCATTACGTGTCCAGCTGCACCGACTTCCCCTTGGCCAAACCCACCACCCGACGGGTCACGCAATATTTTGGACTTACGACCGGTCTGTGGGGATTCAGAAGCTAACTCTACCGAACGAGTTGAGTTGTCAGTGACGGAGGCGGAGGCGGAGGCGCGGTCGTCTAGAGGTGCCTTAATTAGGCAAATTGGTATTTAAATTGTTGTGAACGCTATCGTTTTTTTTTTTTTTTTTTTGGGGTAGGTTGGCAAATACGAGGGGCTAAGGGATTATATTTTTAGCAGCTTATTTGTTTCTTTGTTATTTGGTTCTTTATATTCGATGGGTTACTCCTCGGTGATAAATGTGCTTTAGCACGAAATGTGGGCGGGAAAAGTGTATAACAAACAAAGTCTCGTTTGGGCTTCAAATAAATGCGGAATAATAATGTTATTCACAGTATACCTACTTATCTTAGGGTATTCAAAATTTGATAAGATCTTTTAAGGACAGTCTATATAGCTGGTAATAAATGCGTAGCATCCCTATTTCCAAATAAGCAGTAATATGAGTAATTTGGCCTACTCAAATTCAATGAAAATCACCATTTTATTGATTGCAGTGGATTTTTTATATCAATTAAGGATCCAAATCAACAAATGCGCTAGCAATTACACTAATTAGTCCATTCGACATCGGAAATATTACACAAATTAACTGTTCCAATGTTCCTATAGACCATCTGTCATAAGGGGAACCTAATGGTGAAAGCACATTAATCAAAACTGGCAACAACCTATTGATAAAGCTCGAAACACGCGTGGCCACACACATATCACCTAGAGTTTCCGAACCCAGGAGTCTCGAAGGACACGACAGAAAGGACCCATAATCTGACGCCCCCTAGCAAACGTAAACATTTCCGTGTGACGTGCACCGGGCAGGATAAACAAAAGTCGGACGGAATGAACACCAGTGGAGCGCTGATTCAAATTTCCAAAATAAATGCGAACCGTTGGAGTTGTGGGCGCAAATGGGGCTATTCCGGATAGTGGGAGCTGGGTGGTGGGTGGTGGGGAGTCGTAAACCGAGAAACCCAAATGAATGTGAGAATGCCGACAACTAAATTCTTTGGCGCCGACTTCAATAACGCCCACGCCTGTCCTGGATACCCTACATTAAGCGGGTATGATCTACATCTTAAAGCTTATTTTAATAATAATATAAATAAATATAATAATATAATATAATATAATATAATATAATATAATATAATAATATAATATAAATATTTTAATATAAACCAAGTCCTAATTATATAATTATGTTTTTGGGAACACAAAGAAATTTGGAATTCCAAGCCAAAAACGTAATTTACATTGAACATTGCCTTTAGTTAAAGGTGATATGATATTGAGATGTGTTAGCAAATTAACTTTATGACACATCTTAGGATGACCTTGATAAATCGACCCTAAATAAGATTAAAATAAGAATATGGTTATACATTTTTAAAGGAGTTTGTGCATTTAAAACTTGTATATATTTGGTAAATCGATATTTCATAAATTGTACCTGTTGAACTGAATATCTGTTAAACTACATTATTATCTGGCTATATTTAAAATCTCTGAACTAAACAAAATCCGTTTTTATTTCCTTGTAACTAGGACAAACTTAGAGAATTCCAACCTTCGAGTTGCGCACCCGACTAATTGTTTGTTTGTTTGCTCGCGAAAGGCATGAAAAAGGGGGGCGCATAGCCAACAGGTATTAATTTGGCACAAAGTAACCACGATTTCGTGGTGGCGCCGTAGGAAAATAGCAATTTATTACACGAAATGCGCGAAAGACACTCCAAAACTGGGAAAGCTTGGTTCGTAGGGCGGACTTTTCCGAGGGGCAAAAAGGAAAAGGGTCACCCCTTTCTTTTCCTTTTTTTTGTTTTTGGGTGACAAAACCATCAGCTTTTGATCGGTTGCCAAATGCGCTCTCGTTTTATTTTAAATATTTGTAGTGGGCATAGCGGTATTTATAGCACTGTTTATTGTTGCGGCTACTTTTTGCAATTGATAAGAAACATTCAGTCGGCTCTATTTATAAAGGCAAGCGAAAATTGACTCACCTTTGTCGCAGGTGTTTTTGTTGTTACTCCGAAGTTTAGGTATTTCTTGAAACAATTAAAACTAAATGACCGTCTGCCAAATATTGATTAGAACCAACAAACTTATGCACGCAAGCGATTTAGGCGAGCTATTACCGACTTTGAATTACAGCGAACCTGGGAGTCGGCGTCCTCTATTTTTTTTATAACGGCATTCAAAGGTAAATAAATGCCGTGGTTTTTTTTTTTGTATGCACGTGATTTAAGGCTGCCCCACCGCACACACACACGCGTACGCACACCGCGCACTCTCCCACACACACACACGAGCGCAGTAAGAGTACCGCTACTTTGCACCAGTAAATTCCGAAAGAAACTAAACTAACGCCAAAAACGAATCGTACGTCGCAGCCATTTTCATTCATGCCCCGATTTTGCATGGGTGTGAGTGCGAGTGTGGTGTGTCGCCCTTTACCGTTACGTTTGGTTTGGTCATGTGCAAATCTTACGGTTTATTTTAACGGTTCCAAGCGCCAAAGTCTGTAGTTCCAAAGTCCTTACCGGGGTAAAAATGTCTCATTTTAACAGTTAAACAAGTGCAAACGTTGATTTGTCGTTTTCCTTACTTATAAATAAAATCTTTATTGTCTAATAATTTGTCGAGAATATGGGTTTTTCGTGGGTAACTTTTCAATTGCGACACATACAAAATTTGCTTAAACAAACTGAATTATAAAACTTTGACCTTTTCCTGTAAAAAGACGTAAGTTATGAACTAATAATATTTGGGAATAAACTTAATACGGGGAATACCCCAATGGATGATTTTCCATTCCTGTATCCCCGTATGTATCGATAATAGGCTTATGAAAAAATCGATGCTTTTTTCATATGTCGATACTTTGGCAAGCGTTGCCAGCTTGTTGAAAAACAGCTGTTCCCCCGCTACACGCAATTTGCCTTGTTACGTCGTCTCCTTCATTTTTTGGAAAACAAACTGTGTTTATTCAATTAAAATGTTGCCCATTGCACGCGGAATTTATGGAGGCTTGGTCAACATAACTCGGAATAGTCGCGGAGCTCTTCACACGGCCAGTGGGTTCCGTTGCAAGGCAGAGACTTCGACTTCCACCGAGGAAAGGGATGCGGAATCCACCGAAGTCGATGGCGATGATAGCTCCAGCAGTTCCGCACCGGATGCAAAAGATCGCAGTAAGATTATCCCTGTGGAGACATCAATGCGCTACTTGAAGAGCGCCGCCTACAAACAAACCTACGGCGAGGACTTTGTGTGGACGCAATATCGGTAGGTCCACTTAAAATCTCACATATCTGAAGGAAATCCAACATTCTTTTATCATGTCCTCACCCGTTTCAGGCGCAACCATAAGGGCATGTATGCGCCACGAAAGACGCGCAAGACATGCATCCGCCAGAACCGGATCACCACCGGAAATCCCTGCCCCATTTGCCGGGATGAGTACCTCGTGCTGGACTACCGCAACACGGAACTCCTGGAGCAGTTCATCTCGCCCCACAACGGAGACGTGCTCAGCTACTCGAAGACCGGCCTGTGCCAGAAGAGCCATTTGCGTCTGAGGGTGGCCGTGCAGCAGGCTCGCGATTCCGGATACCTAACCTACGATGTGCCCTTCAGGGAGTACGATTACAGCGAGTACTACGGTCAGCAGCAGAAGCAGAAGCAGAAAGCGTAATTACTTATTGAGTGCATATGTAAATGTTTTTCTGGCTTATTAAAAGAGTGAAAAGAAATTATAGTAAATTAAGCAACAGACTGTTAATTGATGTTATACAGAAGATCAAAACTTTTGCTTTTTAAATGTGAAAAATGATAATTCAAAACCTGCATGAAAAAATTTTTACATAAAAAATTGCCCTTTAATATTTTTAGTGACTTCTATCAGATTCTGCTATTTATAAATTGCATTACAAATATATATGGTTTTCCCAGCTTTCTAAAACATGATAAGAAACTTGCTCGCACAATCATTTTATTTATATTATATATTATTATCACGAGAATGTTAAAGCGAATGAACGTATAATTGCGTTAAATCTTTAAATCTCAGTTTAGTCTTGAGTTGATTGTGGAACATTGCACATTTGCAATATAATGAAGTCGAGTATATTAGTGTTGTTTTTGTCATATTTGCTCTTGGAGGAGCCAGCTTCTTCAGTCGCTGATCCTGTTCAGAATTTGCAGCAAGAAACTGAAAATCAGAATAGCAAAGATCGGTGCAATTCATATTGCTTTTCGGTGTTCAAGCCCGTTCTCGATCACTTTGTTGAGTTAAAACAAGCAGCCAATGCTAGCGATGAGCTAAGAATCAAAATAAATACATTGGAATCCTCTAAAAGGGACTTGCAGATTCAGTTATCAAACGCGGAAGCTGAAGACAAGACCAGTAAATTACTTATTAATTTGAAAGATGAACAAATTAAAGAGCTGAGTAAACAACTTAAAGACAAAGATGATAAAATTAAGCACCAATCTGAACTGCTCAAGAACAATGATGAAACTATAAGAAACTTGCAAGGCCAGTTAGCAATTGCTAAAGTACAAAACGAAAACAAAGATAAGCTAATTCGTATACAGGAAGGTCAAATGAAAGATAAAACTGAACTGATTGAAAACAAAGAAGAACTTATACAACTAAAAGATCAACAAATAAAAGACAAAGATGAACGTCTAAATATCAAAATTGCTCAAATCAATGACCAAAATTCGGAGAATTTGAAAAAATCCAATCAAATAAATGAGTTAACCAATCAAGTAAAGTCCGTTTCCGAAAAGCTAACTGAAAAAACTAAAATGCTTTCAAGACGCTGTGGATTGGATAGTTGACCCAGCGAAGGTCCTTCTAGAATTTATAACATGAAAATGCGAGAAATAAATGCATTTGAAGCTCCTTGCAATTCAACTGGTTGGATGATAATTCAGAGGCGTTTGGACGGATCAGTGAACTTCGATCGAAACTGGGACAGTTATAAAAATGGATTTGGGGATGTCAAAGGGGAGTTTTTTATTGGGCTCGAAAAATTGCATCTCATGACAGAGGTACAACCTTACGAACTCTATGTTAGTCTTCTGGATATAAATGGAACCAGCAGATACGCCAAATATGATCAATTTGAAGTTGGAAGTGAGACGGAGTCATATGAGCTAAAAACGCTAGGCACATATTCTGGTACGGCAGGAGACTCCCTTGATTACCATGAGAATGCAAAGTTCAGCACATATGTCCGGGATAATGACTCTAGCGATGCAAATTGTGCAAAGCTCTACAATGGGGGATGGTGGTTTAACGCATGTGCTCTAAGGTATACAAGTTAAGATATTTTATTTTTGAATTTGTTTGATTTAAATATTTTAATTTGCAGTTCACTTAATGGAAAATATTTCAAAGACGGTCAGAGTCAAAAAGAAAACGGAATTGTTTGGGGTACATGGAAAGACTTCGACTATACAATCTCGCTAACCTTTGCTGAAATGATGATTAGACCTAAATCCGGTTTTAAACAAGTCTTCTTTTTACCAAGTTAAACTGATCAAAATTACATAAAAATTAAAAAAATTTATGGAATCAATGAAAAAGCAATTAAAAAATAATCATAAAAACGTAGAGACGGTACAATATTTCTGTTAGCGCTAATTTTATATTTTTTTTTATCAAGTTGTTGCCTATTAATGGGGAAAAAGAGTTAGTTGTTAAAATGCATATGACACCGCTAGACCATTTGAATGTTTTCCTTATTTTCGCCACCGAGTTCCTCCTCTAAAAGTCGCTGATGCGAGCGTTGAGCCAGCAGTTGTTCAGATTCGTTGAAAACGCGTACATTTCTCGAGCAATTGTTGAAGCTGCAATTACCAAGCAAGTTGTCCTCATTGTATCTGTATGAAAAATTTAAAAACAGTTAAAAATGCGGAGCTTCACTTATCATATTATTGCTTACCTCTGCAGTTCGCTAAATTGTTTCAGTATTATTGTCTTTTCCGTTCTTTCCTTGCCCAAGGGCAAGCCATCTGCCAAGATTCCCAGCTTGCAGCCGTCGAAGCTGCATTTGCTGCCCTGCAGATTCAGCGAAACCGTCTTCTCCAGCAGTTCCAGTCCTGTCTTGCAGTTTTTCAACTGGACACTGCCCAACTCGGCGCTAGATCTCGATCGCATCGAAATGCCGACGGCAAAGTTCTCGATGAGGCAGCTTTTGAGTTCCACGTTGGCGCCTGGCATGCAGACGATGCCCTCCTGGGTGCTGGAGTTGCCATCGCCCAGCAGGCGGCATCCGCGCATTGTCAAGGTGCCATTGCGCAGCAGAATTCCCCGACGGACGTGGCGACAGTCCAGGACCAGCTGCGACAGGCTATAGTCGCCATCAATTACCAGCAGGGTGCTGTCCTCGTCACTGGAGGACACCACAGGCAGCTTGAAGAGGTCTGGACCCGGAGCTAGTATAGCTTCCGGCTGGATCAGGCCACTCAGGCTGCCATTGTCGTTGAGGTGTTCCAAGAACTTGATGGTGTGCTCGCCGGGCGAGAGGAGTATATGATCGTGGCTCTGGCAGATGCTCAACACATCCTGCAGCGTGTTGGCCAACTGCACCTGCGCTTCCGGCTCGACCAGCGACTGGGCCAGCTTCAGCAGATCCAGCTGCTGCTGCAGTTTCCCCGGAACGGTAACCACATGGCTAATGGGAGCCCGCTCCACCAGGAGATCCTCCGATTGTTTGGTCCTCCCCGATGAGTTGCGAAGTCGCTTCAAGCTGTTCGACTGCAGCTCACTGTAAGCCCTCCTCATCTCTGGGTTCTCAAGGATCTCGAACTCGCTCCTGATGATGGCCATGCGCAGGTGCAGGCACATCAGATCCGTCACCGGCAAACTGGACACATTGAGGCTGCCATTGGCGTTGCCTGTTTTGGACTGCTTCCTGGCCGGCTCGGCCGCATTGTCATTGAGTTCGACGGCCTCGTCGTCACTCTCGGCATCGCTGAGATCCAGCTCCAGGAAGTCCAGGCGCTGCTGGATGTAACTGGCTTCGGTCAGCAGGGTGCGCATGTGCACGGCCAGTGGACGGGGTAGCCGATTCTTGCTGAGATCGCACACGAGCTGAATGCGAGCCTGCAGATGCTGCTGCACCCAGTCGCGATCATCGTCGTAGTCCTTGTCCCATGGCATCCACACATTGGTATAGAAGAACCTCAGCCGATCGATGCAGTCAGCCGTGGTGTCCACATTGAGGGCGGAGTTCTCCTGCTCCACCGTGGGCCACAGTTCCACCAGGGACACCTCGTTGCTCTCCGGCAGGTGGACATCGTTGTCCTGCACGGCGGTCACAACAAAGACCGCTTTCAGCTCCTCGAAGATCACCTGTTCCACGTAGCCGTAAACAATGGTGGGATACCGGAGTTTAAGATCCTCGCAAATCACGCGCGGTATTTTCCAAATCGCCTGCCAACCTTTGGCAAATACAAATGTAAAATAGTGTGGATCAAAACGAGTTCGTCTCTGTCTTCTGCATCAGTGTGGGTGGCTTACCTGCTGGCTCTATCTGCAGCTCTACATAGGATTTCCACTCGGATCGCACCTGAGAGGCGGGCATCACGGCTCCCTCCCACTTGAGTACCGCCTCCGCTTCCTTCAAACGCTCCAGAAAGGATTTCTCAAAGGTAAACACTTCCATTTTCACTTTTTTTGCGGACTAGTTGAAAGGCGTTTGAAGATTTTTGAAATGTGTGTGCAGACCGACGGCTTCGATAACGATATTTGGGGCGGAGTTATCGGCCGCTGCAACCTTGCGTTAAAATAACTTAGCTATTTTTTCAATAGAGACTGACTATTAAATTATATATTATTCTAGCTATTGTTTACTTAATACTTTGCAATCCGAAATTAAAGCTGAAAACTACTAACTAGCAATATATAAATTTTTAAAAATACAGAAATATAACACACTTTTATGGTAAACCTTCCAAAGCATATATTCTTTAAAATAAAAATTTATCTCTAACGCCTTCTTGCTAGTTCTAGCTATTAGCTAGTTTTCCGAAGCGATAGTGAGCAGCACTGCTGCCAGTATCGATGCCAACATATGTTTAAAGTACTCATTCAAAGCGGTGTTTTTTTCGTGTAAACAATATTTAATAAAAATTAAAGCAAAATGGCCTCAAATAATATGCCAGAGGAGAATTTCGAAGGCGGAGATGTAAGAACAAATCGAAAATTTAGGAGCCCGTCTAAATGTATTTTATTTTAGTTCAACTTTGATGACGATGCCGATGATGACCAGTTTGTGTCCACAAATTCCGGACGAAAGCGCCTTTTCAGCAAGGAGCTGCGCTGCATGATGTTTGGGTTTGGCGACGATAAAAACCCGTACACGGAAACCGTAGATCTGCTGGAGGATCTGGTCATTGAATATATCGCGGAGACCACGCACCGGGCCATGGAAATCGGGCGAACAGGTCGTGTCCAGGTGGAGGACATTATCTTCCTGGTGCGCAAAGATCAACGCAAATACGCCAGGGTCAAGGATTTGTTGACCATGAACGAGGAGCTCAAGAAGGCGCGCAAGGCCTTTGACGAGATCAAGTATGTGGGTGAGTATTGCCAGAAATTCACCAATATAAAGATATAAACTTATTCAAAACCAATTTTTTCCAGGCACCGAGGGCAAGCTCAAATGACAGCGGCCCAAAAAAGCACTACCAAATCCAGGAACAAGCCAATCCTAGCAGTAAGCTCCAGCGTACGAATTATTCTAAAAGTTTTTAATACTCTAAGCTAGCCCATAATAAACTAATCAAAGTAGTCTTCAATGTCAATATCGGGATTGAGTATATCATCGCCGTACGGCTCCAAATCGATGCCGTTTAGGATGAGATTCTCGCAGGTCTCGGCAAGATCGGTGTCCCCAATGAGGATAGCACCCCGCAGTCTGCCATTCTGCAGCACAAACTTGATGTACTCCTTATTGCGAGTGCAGCGCACCAGGATCTCGTAATCCCTGCCCAAATCCTGGCCATTAAAGCGGCCCAGCAAGACGACAGGATAGCCAAACAGATTGGTTACGTGGCCAAAGAGCTCGAAGCAAAAGTCTTGGTACACGGTTTCATCCTCACTGGCGGCTGCCATACTTCGGCCCGCCATGGATCCCATTTGGCGGGCCTGAGTCCACAGGCGCATCTGGAACCAGTGCGTAGCCGGTGACCAGCTGGCCGTGCAGACATCACCGGCAGCGTAAACATCCTCCACATTGGTACGCATCATTTCATCCACGGAAATGCCACCATCCTCGGAAAACTTCAGTGGGCAATCGCAGGTGTACTCGTGACGCGGCAAGACTCCCGTGGCGGAAACGATAAAATCACAGGTTAGCTGCTCCAAACTTCCATCCTCGTGGCCCAACTGGATTGCTAGACCTGATCCGTCGGGAAGTTCCTTATAGGAGTCTATGTGAGATTTGTAGTAGATCTTTGGCAGGCGTTTATCCGACTTTCCAGCTGCCCCACTCAAATCGAAGGTGCGATGCCAATCCGGACCCAAAGCAGCTCCGTGTTTGTTATTCTGCTCCTTGGACAGCACTTCACCATATCGCATACGTTTAATGGCCGTTTCTGGGGAGGAGTCCTGTGTGTTTACTTCACTTCGTGCCAGCTGAAAGAACTCTGCTGCTCCGGGATCCACAAAGGTGGCCGAGATGTGGGCGTCCTTAACCACCCAATGGACATTGACATCCTTTAGCTCGTAGGCCAACTCACTGGCAATGCCTCCGTTTCCCAGGATCAGAACATCCTTGGCTGCCGCCAGTCTGCGCTGTAGTTCCAGCACAGAATCCGTGTCCCGAATGCCAATAATTCGGGATTCAATCGCACCACCGGAACTGAATAATTTGGGTGCTCCGCCAGTGCACAAGCACAGATAGCGATAGTTGACCACCACACCCGTTCTGGTGCGTATCCAGTGCTCCCGGCTGTTGATGTGTTCCAGTTGATCCACCAGCGTTTCGATGGTGGCTCCCATTTTGGTTACATCCTGTTCCCGCACATCGAACTTGTGGAGATATCGAGCCACCGGCACAAGATTGGTGACACTCTTCACAATGCTGGATTCCGTGAGCAGGAGGACGGAGGCAGTGGGTCGGCAGATGGCCAAGGACTCGGCGCAGCTAACGCCAGCGATGCCGCCACCGACCACCAGGAATTCGCAATTCCGTGGCATTCTCTTGTAGAAATAATAATAAAGTAAAATTACGAAATAGGAAAGGTGATTCACTAACGACAGACTAAACAGCTGATATCAAAATAATACAGTGGAGCCTGATTGCTGAAGTTTGGTTGTGGACAATATGTAGATTAAAGGTAAAATAAGAATAATTTTGAACATTTATTTCTTATTCTTATTTTACTTTAAATTTGTACATAAGCAAAATTGCGAAATAAATAAGTATCTTAATTTAATTTAGTTTGACCACAGTTTTATGACTTTTTTTCGACTGTACCTTATATTTATTTTAAAAGTCTACCGTTTTCGCAAGTTAATCAGCTGATTTTGTTAATTCGGAGATCAATAAATACCAAAAATGTACACAGCCCTACTAAAAATACTAAAACATTTCCAAACCTCCCCCCCTCGAAAGCAACTGGATTATTTATGGACAGGCGTAGTATCAACACAACTTAACGGTATTTTCCGTGGCGTTTTAATCGGTTAAGTGTTTACGCCTCCAATTAAAGAATAAAAAAGAACACAATGACCAGGGAGCATTGGATGCGGGATTTGCCCGTGGAACTGCGTGATCTTTCGATCATTAATTTGGCCATTCCAGGTATGGATGAGATCACCCCCCAGCAATGGAATTAATTAAAGCGTCGCCAATCTAGTATAGGTTCCCACAACTCGATGACTTATGGCATAAATAGTAAGTCCAAACTAGCGCCCGATGCGGAAACTTCCATTAGACGATGGCATCGCTTCTTTCCCTGCTTCGTGCGCCGCTGGAGCAGGACCCAATCCGCCGGGACACTGGAGCAACTGCAGCTAGGCGTGCGGTATTTCGATCTGAGGATAGCCCAGAAGGATGACAAGTTCTACTACTGCCATGGCCTGTTTGCCATGGAGATTTTCGAGCCGCTCTTGGAGATTCGCCAGTTCGTGGACTCGCATCCCGGGGAGGTGGTCATCCTGGATCTGCAGCACTTCTACGCCCTGACAGTGGCCCATCACCAGCAGCTGCACAAGGATCTGATCCAGTTCTTTGGCCATCGTCTGTACTCCACCGCCGATGGTTCTCTCAGGGATTGCACCTTGAACCGCTGTCTGGAGATGCAACGCAACTTGGTGATCATCTATCGGCGATGTCCCATTCCGCTGCCGCTGAGATTCTGGCCCAGTTATTCGTGGCCCACACCGTGGCCGAATAAAGCCAGTGTCAAGAAGCTGCAATCCTTTCTGGAGGACTCTCTGTTGTCACGACAGCCCCAGCAGGGATATGTCTCCCAGTGCCTCATCACGCCCACTGGTCGCTATATTGCCTTCCGGCTCTTCTTCACCCTGAAAAGTACAGCCAAGCGGGTGGACAAGAAGCTGCAGCCATGGATTCAAGAGCAGATCCCGGGCCCTTTCGAGCCGACGGAGGAGCCCAGGGTGAATGTGTTCCTGGCCGATTTTGTAAACCTCAAGGAGGGACAGTTCTGCGATTGGGTTCTGGAGCTAAACACAAAGTTGCAGGAGAGAATGGCTGATCCGGAAAAGGAATCTACTTGAAAAGATTTGTTTTATACGATTTTACGCACAAATATGTGGGAACTATTTTATATAATGAGTAAACCACATCGCTACACTATATCTCAAAGATATTTCTTTTGATACAACGTTGTTTTAAAAAATCGTGATAAACTTTTGTAAAGGCAATTGGTATATAACCAGTGATATTGGAGGTAAAACTACTTTAAATGTCTATTTGAAAGCAGCTACATATGTACAAATATTTTTTCGAAATTAAGTCTTGCCAAAACTAGCACATTATTATATATAATATTTAAAATATGTTTTGAATGCCTCAACTCTCAGTTTTACTTTGTTAATTAAATGCTTATGTAAATCAGTTATTATTGTTGGTGCTATCAATATTTTATTTTTAAAAACCAATACAAAATATATATATATATATATTTAAAAACATAAAAACAAACACAAAGCACATTGCAGCATAAAATCTAGTCCAAGGTGGGAACTAATCGGCCGTCAATCGATAAGAAAGCGCACTGCCTTCTGTGTTTTTGTCGGCGAGGTGACATTTGCAGTGGCCTCCGCTCGAGCCAACGAAGTGTGCATTCCATTGAGTACGGTGTCCAGCCGGGATAGTGCCTCCTGAATGCTGACGGCCAGGACACCGCCGTCCTGCTGATTCTCCCGCTCGAGCAGGGCCCTCTCGCAGTGCCTTTGCAGTCGTTGGGCGGATCGCTGCATCACCTGCAGCTCCTGGTGAACGAGGGCGGTGAAACTACTCTGGCTGCCTGGCGTCTCCTCGGGATCGTAGGTCAGCAGGCGTTTGGTGTACTGCACCAGTTGGCTGGCCGGCGATGGTGTATTGCTGCTGCCGGACACATTCAGTAGCCTCTTCAGCGGTTTATTAAGCAGCACATCCTTCATGGCACTCAAGTTCAGGGCAATGCGACTGGAGTTGTGGGTGTCGCTCAGCGTCTCGTTGAGGTCCGCATCCAGGGGCTCCCAGTCAACCTCGACACTCTGGAAAATGGTCTTGGCATTCAGTTTCTCCTGCTGCTGTTCCCTGACCAAATCCAACCACACACCCAAGCGGGCAGTGGGCCACTCAGCCTTGAGGCCACGCTGCTTGTCCAGGATCAGGATTACAGTGCGCAGCAGGCCAAACTCATCGGGCGTCTGGGTTTGCCGGAACTCCAAGGGCAGGTCCAATTGGCGACAGCGTTGGGTGGCCTCCTTGACCATCAGCTGTGTTTTATGCAGACTCTCCTCCGAGGGATTCAGCATGATGCGTTGAATGTCCTCTAGGATGGTGGATTTCTGGGCTGGCGTCGACGCTGCTGCATCCGCCTGCCTCAAGGGAGTATGCTCCTGTTGCTGGGCCAAGGCTTGGCGCTCCGTCTCCAACATCTCGCTGTTGCACTTGTACTTGAACTGCTCCAGTTCGAGGCACTGCAGCCGCTCCTCAAAGTCCCGGGCATGCTGGGCCCGCTCCTGTTCGATCCGCGTCAGAGCCGCTCGCTTCTCCGCCTCCAACTCCAAACGCAACTGCTGCTCCTGCTTTTGCAGGATCTCCTGGTGGGCCAGCTGAAAGTCCACTGGGTGCTCCGCCTTGCCCCTTTGCGAGCAGAACGGATTGGAGATGCGGAAATAGTGGGAACCACCAATAACTAGTCGGTCACCATGGAACAGCTGACGTCGCTCCTGCAGAAGTTCTCCGTTCACATAGGTTTCAAAGTCCTCGCTGCCGGGAGTGACAAATAGCTTGCCACCGCGCTCGTGCTCGATGCTGCAGTGCTGCAGGGCCACAAGTGGGCCATCTAGTACAATGTCCGGCTGGGAGTTGGCACTCCCTCCTGGCAGACGACCCCTGCCAATGCGCACCAGTCCTTGCGGCAGAAGGTAGAACAAGGTGCCACTCAGTATGGGATCCGCGGTGAGATTCACCAAGCAGGCCTGCTTCTGTTCGGCGGTTAGTTCCAGGGCCAAGCCTCGACGTTTCAGGACACGCAGCTCCGACTTGCGCTGGTCCTCCGCCTCCTTGAGCTTCTCCATCCACGACTTCTGGGCCCGATTCAGTTCCCTTTCCCGTTCGGCCAGCTGCTGACGCAGTGCCTCCACCTCCGTTTCGTCCACCGACGTCTCGATGATGATCTTACGCGGCACTGGATTGTTATTGTTGCCGGATAAGCGCCGCTGGCGTTCGTACTCATTCCTCAGCGACTTCAGGCGATCCACTTCGGCGCGCAGATCCCGGATGATCTTGTCGTGTGGCGACTCGTTCACCTTCACCCGGTTGACGATGGAACGCGCCTTACAGGCGTACCGCAAAGTGGCCAATGTCTCATCCGCATGCAGGCTAGCCGGCGATATGGTGGCCAACATGACTGTCTTCGAGTTCCCACCGAGATTTTCCTGGAAAGAGGAGACAGCAACACATACATATGTATATTGAGACGCATTTTGGGATGCATTTTGTCTTCAGGTGACTAATTGTATTGTTTGGACGTTAATCTCTAAGGTAAATCAAGCTATTTATTTGCAGGGTCAATATGGCAAACGGAACCTCATATTTTTAAAGCATTACTCATAGCGGTCAGTATGTAATATTTAATTTAACATCTACTCAGAACAGATGAAAGAAAAATAAATGTAACAAATAAATTAATTTAAATCACTATGATAAGTCGGTTTCATTTTTAATAATCGGTCCCCCTTAATTAAATTTAAATATGAATAATTTTTAATATATGAGTTTGGATTAAATCTATTTATTTCAGAAGATTTTTCTTGAAAATCAAGAAAATTCTTTAAGAACCATTTGTTAAAGTCATTTGGATTATAAAACTTCGAGTGCAAATGGAACCTATTTAAGCGACAAATTTTTAAATAAATTGAATAAATATGGAATTGTTATTGAAAATGGTCCATTTAACTTCGATGTGATAAGGATGGTTTCATATGAAATACGGTCTGAATAAAATATAATAAATAAGAGTCTCAATAAATATATTTTTTCGAAGCGTCTTATCAAACAATTCAAAGAACTTGTCCCGCTATATGACATTCCATTATTGAATACCATAAAATCATATTGATAAGACAAAATTGGTTTCTACTTCTTGAACATTTTCGTAAAAGCGATATACCCCCGTATGTGAGGGGTAAGTAATAAACCCATGGCGACTTTGAGGCACTCAAAAGCACTCACAACAGATGCGTGAAAATCTCAAGGAATGGAAAATAGACAATCTAAAACCTTCGAGTATGTGTTTTCAATTGTGGGCTTGAAGCGATAAGCACGGGCAAATTGATAAGGCTCCACCCATCTGTTTGCGTAAAACTACCGCGACAAAGGCACCTACTGATGATCATTATCACCCAACTTATCAGAAACTGCAGTGCGAGGAGGAAGACGACAATAGACAAGTTGTTGTGCCAGCCAAATAAATTTACTTGTTCTCACCCCTCAGAACCAAATTAAATTATTTTATTGTAAATTTTAAGAATTTCTAAAAAATTTTAAACCAGATGTTTTCAAAGCAGAAAAAAATTTAATTAAATTCTCAGGGAAGAGGTAGGATTTGAACTCGGAAATATGATAATTTCCGTAGGCCAATGTTAAACATATGAAAAATTTAGATAAATAAACAATATTGTGCCGATCCATGTCTTTTTGTTGCTGTGTACAATGTACATTGCTCATATGTATTCAAATATAGGTTTGTATTAACTATTTAGTACACATTCTTGGCAGTGTGCGTAAGTGACACTTGTTTGATTAAGCAGGTCAGCACCGTGGGCTAAACAAGAGAGCGAATCGGAAAGAGGATGGATGATTACACAAACTGCGCAGCAGCAGCGGCGTAGGCGTGCACAGTGGTCGAAACTAAAGCGATTTCGCTCAAAAAAGTATTTCCATAACTCTAAGTGTCCTCAAGGGGCCTGTCGTGGCCGCCTGATTGTCTGAAACTGGGTCCATTAACTGCAAATTAAATCAATCAATGCCGGGAATCGACGTTAGTCATCCGCGTACCAAAACGTACCATATAACCACATTTTGAACTAAATATAGGTTTTGAACGTCCTCCCACCTTTAGAAATCTGTCACGATCTCTGTTAATGACCGAAATTCGCGTGTATCAAACTAAAACCGCAGAAATCCGCTAAAAAGGCGGTATGTATTATAACGAAAATACAACAAAAACTTTGATCAGAACCGGCTAAAATGACGTAGACCCTTTATTAACACTAGGTTTACGCAAATTTACGAAATCGTAGGAAAACGCCGAACCTTTAGCGAACTGAAAATAATGCAGTCTGTGGTTTTACCTGTTTTGTGCTATTTTTATTCATTATGGGGTAACCGAATTCCTTTTGATAAATTAGGCTAAATCGGCACATGGTCGGCCTGCAAGTCTAGACGGTTATTAGCGAACCTTATTAAGATATATCTCAATCCCCAGATGATCAGCCGGCAAACATTCGGTCAAATCTCTCTCATGACTACCGTTTTTCGTCATCTTTTCGGTATTAGCAATTGGTTGCTAATATTGGTTGCTAATAAGAAAAACTTCCAAGAGTATTTTTCATGCCCCCAGTTAATTAACATTTATTAAAAATGAACAAACTAACACAGGGTGAATCATTAGGAAAATGGTTGATTTTAAAAAAATATAAATTAAAGGAGATGCGTCCCACTGTGCCTCATGTGAGAGCTGTAACCACTGTGGAAACACTCGAAGGGGCCGGTTCGGGTGGAAGTGCAAGTTTCAACAAAAGCACGAGACGCGAAAACACAACAAAACACAATGCCATATATACATGTTTATAAACAGGCACACACATATATTTATACAATCGCGGGTACAACGGTATCACCAGAAAAATCCCAAAATATAAAGTTTTTTTTCCTAACAATAGGAATTGTATTGTATTTTCTTTTCTCTTTAAATAAAAAAAAAATTGTAACGAAAAAATCAAAATTAATGACCTCTTAACCTTTTTCGAAGTAACTGAAGTGAAACCTTCTTGTAAACTGCGGCAACGGATATCTATTTTCAAAACAACTAACATCGAAACCTACGAAGACATGCTAACCTAAAAAAAAAGTTCTACAAACATAAGATAATGAGGTTTTGACTAAAATGTAGCAGTTCTTATTGAACAATGTCATATGTTTTATTTGTTTGACCTCGTCTGTCCTCACATATTCACACAAAAACACAGCAGTAAATATAGTGGAAACACGAAGTCAGCAGAAAAACAAGAGCCGAAGGCACGACGGCTACAAAAATGCAGTAATTCTAGCGTTCGGCTTTCAGTTTCATGAGAGACATCCACCAGAGTACATCGAATTTCGGTGAAATTTCAAAGAAATATACAAACCACTGCATAAGATAGCAGATACCGATACCTTGATTTGGTATTCCACACAAAAGTGCATTAACAAAATACGCGTTATTCAAAAGCAGAAGCAAAGTGATTCAAACTGAGTTCATTGGACGCCCAAGAAATCAGAGAGACGACAAAGTGAAACGACCTCGCACAACGCGCGCTTTAAAAAAGAGAGAAAAACACACCCACATCGCAATCAATAGCGTTGCAACGCTCCTTACAAGGCGAAAAATAAGAAAAACAAAAAAAAAAAAACAATTTCCAACATGGATGTTTGGGGATTCTGCGTTAGCGATACTACGATGGCATATGGCGGTTCGATGCGCAACGGATATTACCGGGATTACGAGCAGTTTCCCTACGGAACCCTCGAATCCACCACATCCCCTCATGCGGTCAAAGATTGCTACAGTCGAGTGCAAGGTAATTTTTTTTTGGTCAGACCATCTCCATAAGGCGGTAATCCAAACCATAGTTAAAAGCGTTAAACTTTGAATCGTATACGCGCAAATGCACTGGGGAAAAAAACAAGAGATAAAGAAAAAAGCACGTTCCTCAGTTGTATTTGTGAATTGCGTGTGTTGTTTGTTGTTTTTGCAAGAATTTATAAATAGCCAGCCTGATTTCTTGGTCGCATGTGTATGTGTGCGGGGAACACGCCTTAATTTTTTGCGCACAAACACAGGGTGTCTAAAGTTTCTCGGCGCAACTTGGCTTATCAAAGCCCCCCTCCTTTTATACATATTTACGGCTTAAATCCACGTGCTGTAAGATATTGGCGCTTAATTGCATATAGCAGCTATAAACACGTAGACAAGGTTCAGTCAAAAATTTCCGGCATTTTAAAGTTAAAGCGCAATTATGATATGCAGGTAAACAAATGGGTATATCGTATCTCGTGGAAAATCATAAATGAAACAAAAATATACTTCGTATGGCTATTTTAAAGGTGATTAAACTCAAACTTATGGAGGTCAGTCGAGTCCATTCGATCTGTTTACGATGATTAAATAGACAGGCATGACTGTACCTCCAGAAATGGCTCACAAAAAGTTGAGCAGGTGGTTGGACAATGGATTCTTTTTGGTGGAAGACAAATAAAGCAGGGCTTCATTGTGTTTGTGTGTTAAAATTAAAGCGCAATAACAAAACTGAGGTGTGCGGAAGGTAAACTTTTGTTGTTGCTTTTATCCGAGTAGTATATGACTAATTATGCCCTCTGCATTATCAGGTGCACCGAAAAAAAAAATAATATTTTAGATATCTTTTGATCGATGAAAATTTGTCTTTGAAGAGTGTATAGATCATGCAACACAAAAAAATCAAAATCAAAGCTTTATATAACAAACTGAATCGTTAAGTATTATCTTTACTTTTTAGTGCAAAATCAAAAGATCATAATTTTGTACTGTGTGGAGTATAATTACAGATTATGCAAGGTCGCTTATCACAGGCTATAAATAGACTCTTTTGACTTGGATCGGCTGGGCTTTAATCAACAATATCCGTTTAGCATTTAACATGGTCAATTGAGCAATCAGGGAAATAGCATAATCAACGTAGCCAGGTCACCTAAGCACTCCGAGCGTTCGTGCACCTGTGTTTAAATAAATAATAATGGAACAATATCAAATTTTAGCTTTCTCAAAAAATTAATTAAACCCTTTAAAATCTTCAAAAAAAATTCGGTATTGCTTAAATTTATTACCAACAGTTTAATTTAAAAAATTTTTTCGTACAGTTGGGCTTTGCGCAGATTTTAAAATTTATAATAATCTAAAATTTTGAACACAGCTGTTTGGGTCACAGGGTCACGACAGACCTTTTAAAAGCGGAGATGGGAAGCCGAATCTCATCGATGGCGACGTGACGCCGTGTGCGTAAGCAGCGACGTCACGTAGTCAAAAATCAGCTGTTTGGCCCAGAAGGGCGTTCCAGTGGGCACGTAGGCCAAAACAGAGAGCGGGATATAGACGAGGGCAAACTGATAGTGCGACCTTAACTAACTATGGTCCTATCCTATTCATTTGCTTACAGAGAAATGCAAGCAGATAAAAACCGAGAAGCAAATGCGGAAGGATTGTCCTTTCTGCAAGGAGCACAAGAAGCGGCCGCTCATCAACTACATGCGCAAGAGGGAGCAGCGGAAGCACCATGACAGCATTTGCGAGGACGAGGAGGAGATGCACGACCATGAGCTGGAGCACGCCCACAATCACAGCCACGAGGTGGTGTCCTCCGTCCTTGCCGCCCCCCAGAGCTGCAAGGTGTGAGAGGGAGCGGGACGACGCTACTGCAGGCGATTCCCACAGACATTCGCGAAATGCCATATATATAAATATACAACAAGAAGAAAGGAAAGAAAAAAAAACCTGAAAAGAGGAAAAAACCTGAAGTTACAACAAAAACAAAGAAAAATCAGAGGAGAAAAGAGAAAAAAGCTGTTAAAGACGAAGATTGCCACAATAATCCAAGGCGACTGTACCCCTTTTTTTGAATGGTTGCCCCAGCATTTCCGCATCGCGAATACACTACCATTTACAAGAGCAAGAACAACTTGATACCAATTTACAACTCCCTTTATCAATTATCTACTACAACTTCGTTTTTACGCCAACTTCGCAGTTATGTACAACTATATAAACAATAATTTGTTTACCGACAAACAAACAGCGCACGATGAAAGAAATCAAATAACGAAAACCTGCCCCGCTTGACCAACGCATTTTTTTGACCTTAGGCAATCGAGAACAACATGAATAATAGGTAAAACCAAAAAAAAAAAACACTATATATACAAAACACAACAAGGGAAGCAAAATTAGCAGAAAAACTGAATTTTCTATTTTGCGTACGAGAGACTGAGTAAACAGCAGTAGAAAATTGTTAAAGCTATAATTGTGTTTTTTCGTTCTTTTTTTTCGACCTAATTGGATCAGTTACAGGTATACCATACAAAAACAAAACATAATATAAACTATAACAACAGAAAATGCATCATTGGCGAAAATTAAGGTTTATAATTATTATTTTTTTTCGATATATGTGTAGCTACGTATATACTTTGGACCCCGATTTTTATTGTATCCTTGTCTATATTAGACATTCCCCATATATTTATTGTAATACCAACTGATTATTGCACAGTCCGAGCAAGTGTCAAAATTAATCGTAATATTGATATAAATGTAAAAGTTGAACATGTTTTAAAATTTTATGCCAAGTTAAATTTTGTTAACGCAACTTATAATTACAGAAAAACTGAAAATATTATTAGGTTATTTGGTGTTCACGCTTAACTGTGCAAAAAGAAAGACGGAAATAATATAAAAACGATTTAACATTTGCATTAGTTGTTTAAGAAATTGATCAAAAAATGTATTGATTTGTGAAGAAATTTGCTTGCAGGTATCGAGAAAATTTTCAATTTATACAATGTTATATATCATATATATTATATATTAATGTTTAATTTAAATTATATATAAATCAATAAAACTACAAATTATAAAAAATATAATTTTAAAGCTGTTGTTTTTATTTAATATTATTATAGCAGGAATTATTAATAACTAAAAAAAGGAGAAAGTGGAAGATTTTTTCGGAAAAACTGCCTTAAACTAGTCAACGATTTTAAATTACCATTGGACTTTACATTGAGGTGGGTCAGTTTAGACCACCGACTGAAACTGGTTTAGTTTTCCAAAAAATTCCCAAATCTCTACGGAAATCTTTTCGTCTCGCACCAATTTACTAATTGAATTAATATGTCTTTCGTAGACTAATCGAAAAATATTCCCCAGGTTAAATAAAAGATAAATATCAAATTGGGTAAATACTTGATGCCTAAGGTCGGTGCTTAATAGATTACCCTGGGAACTGATTCTGACCCAGAAAAAGAAAACCTCGAGTCTTAATAAAACGACCTGGAACTTGACCATGCGATAGTATCCAAATAGTTTCCTAGATCTCTCGCTTAAACAATCAAAGTTTGTCCAAACATAACCTTACTTCAATTATTTCCCACTCAACTAAACTGAATTGAATTAGGGCAATGAACATTTGACTCGAGTTGATGAGATCAGCTAGCCGGGATCTTTAATCATGAATGTCAAGAACAGCAGGGTATCAAAATTTAAAACGATCTTTCTCCCGGTTCCCCGAGGGGATGATCAAATTGTGAATCGCCCCACATGCCATATATCCACGTATATATATGAATGAGTATGCATTGGTCTGTGCTGCAATGGGGTGTGCGGGGAAAGTGGGATTTGAGAAAAACAACTCATGGAGGGAAGCCATAAAGTCAGTTGTTTATACAATGAATTCGATTCATTTTATATTCAATGTTAACCAGTTGGTTCAGGTAGTAGAACAGAATAGAATAGAATAGAATAGAATAGAATAGAATAGAATAGGAGGGTGAAAGAGCGAATTATAGAATTACTAGCTGACTTAAATTACAATTGTTGTTTGGTTAGAAACTGGAATCGAAAGCACACGTTCCATTGCATAATGCAAACGTGCCTAAAGTATAATAATTTTACTAAACTTTCGCTTTTCCATATATTTTTCTTCTTCGTAACTTCATTATATATTACTTGATTATTTAAATAGCAAAAGACCTGCCTCTAGTGAAAAATCATGAGTGTTGTTCAATTAGCAACAAAATTTGGTTTAAAGCTTTTCTGACATTATTCATATTGTTATGGCTTTATATTTATTTAAATGCCACATTGTATCGATCCGGTTAATTAGCGTTAATTTGTGAACTAAAAACGTGGCTTAATTGGAAATTCACATTGCCGACAGACCTCACCTGTTGCTAATAATAAAAGTAATACAATGACGTAGTCATGCAGTGGCACGCTTTGCGTATTTTATATTTTCAAATCGGTGTGAACCGTACTCCATTTGCATGCAAGTCGATGTTTCTGGATTATGCATATTTGGAACCCACATCAGCCCATTATCTAGACAATGCTTGTGGCTAACCGTAGAGGGTTCGGGAAATGTTGATTAAAAATTCACTGCGGTTTCTACGGGCTTTGCACACGAATAAGTTTGCTGGGAACTTATTTAGAAAGCTTGCTTGGAGCTCGACATTTCCAGTTTCAAAGTTCTTGCAGCCATGTGAAGGTCATACAGAGTTTAAAAATAATACTTACAAAAAATAAAAAAAAACGTACCAAAAAGGATATTTCGTAAGGAGTCGGTAAAAATGCTGAACCGCCTATTAAAAAAATTGAGAACTTCCACAGGAGGGAAATCGCAAGGTGAATTAAGATAAATACTGTTGACAATACTAAAACATTGTGAGGTTTTAAACTAAATTCCTTATGTTTGTGTTTGTTGCGCTCACATAAAGGTATATTTATCCCAGTTGGTTAACCATCTAAATAGCAAAAACAATTTGGTCAAAATATTTTAATAAAAGAAAACCACTTAAATTAAAATGCCACCTAACGTTTACAAATTAAAAGCAACACCTAAAAATCAAATGTTGAATTATTTAAAAATTAAATAATGGGCTAGCTTAAATTTGTATAGGATTTTATGATGGAGCGGTGTCTGATTGCCGCTATAAACAGAAACGATTGAAAGAATTTAAGACTATAATTAATCTAATTATTTAAAACAGAGGTTGAATCCAATTATATATGGGATGGAAACGAGTTTATAACTAGTTTATATATTTAAATCAATGAAAAAAAAGTACTTGATGCTAAATTCTAGCTATAAAGTTATATTTAACTTATAGATTGTAACAAATAACTTTTCTTTATATCTTTACTAGGCATTATATATTATCTAACTTTGTTTATAATCAGTGTTTTGTGTGCAAAAGCTAAATGATTTTAAGTAACGTATACGGAACTTATAAAATGTCTAAATATGTTGTTTCCACATATCTTCTATATTTGTTAATTGTTCATATTGTGTTCTAATTGTTGTTGCAGCTCATAAGGACGGTAAAAAGTTGAGCAAGGGCAATTGTAAATGCGAGCCTACAGCCTGTAAATGTGGAAAAAGGCGACAACGACAGCAACAATTGAAATTGTTGGTGTCGCAACTTAGGAGACGCGATAACGTATCAAGTGTTATATTGTTTTAGCACCAGAGTACACCAGGAAAAAATAAAATACAATAAAAAAGAACATTATCTTCAAAGTATTTTTAAATCGTTGGGTTGGCAAAGAGATGTACATGGAACTTGTGTTTATTATGCAAAGATAGGAAAAGTACTTAAAAGATAGTCAGTCATAGAAACAATGGAAAGCAAAAAGTACAATCTAATATGGACTCGAACAAGGTCGCTTGGTCTTCCAGGTGGCCCAACAATGTTTGTCGTTTTACTTATAAAGATCCCAAGGGGTTCCTTTTAACTTGCTTACGATACAATTGGGAACATGGCGTCGTTCAAAATATTTGTCCTCACCTTTTATGGCAAAGACCATATATTTAAACTGAAACAAGTTAGGATTCTCAAGGGCATACTACCGTAACTTAAATTCAAGTGGCTAGACAATAAACAACACATAGTGGAACGGGTTTTAGGGAGAAAAGGCACTTGCCTTTGGACTTTGTAGTACCTTCAATCAAGAGCCTTTCACTCTGGCGCCCTGTAATTACTCATCGAACATGGAGAGTGATTATAAAATACGCCGTAAAAAGTAAAGTGCGCCTTTTTTTAGACGTAGATTACTATTATATAAAACTCTTGTTGATGGATTAACTAAACCTTGTAATATATCAATAGTCAAGGTACATATTACTAAAGTGGGCAACAGCTTGTGATTTTTCTTTGAGAGCAGTTGTTAACTTGAAGTATAAACATATGTAAGTATGTGACATGCTATGGAAAACTTAAAGCCAATTGGTTAAAATCGTGAAACAAATATTTATTATTTTGAAAAAAAAGCTAAAGGGTTTATGTAATAAAATTTAAAAAAACAACTGTTTGAGTCATGATATTTGCAAACAAGGCTCTAACAGACTTACAATTCAATTGTATAAAAGCTTTGACTAAATCTATAAAACTTAAAAGGTAAAACTTGGTATCTTGCTGTGATTAAAGGCCTTCAATTTTTTAATTGTAAAAACAAATCTTTTACGAGGTGTTTATCTAAATGTCATAAAATCACAACAACGAAAAATAAAATCTGAAAGCAAATAAAGAATCTGCTTTCTTTTTTTATTACCTTCTTAAAAAATAATATTCTAGAATTCATTACACGTGCCTTTGTATCGGTTCATATATTTTATAAGCAAATAAAAAAAAAGCACGACAGAAGTTGAAATAGATATGAGCTTAAATATGTATGATAAGAAGGCTTTAATCACTCAATTGATTGGGGCGCGGGGAGGTGTCTTTGATTCAAATTTAAGGCCAAGATAAAAAGCTTCATTTTCGAACGTGATAAGACAACAATAAATATTAAACTGGGTCTGTGTTTTTATCTAGAAATTAAAAAAATAAACAAATGGTAGATGAACTTAAGTTTTGACATAAGGAAACATCTCATATTTTATCCTAAAAGCCTCAGTTAAACCCAATCTAATCTTTAGTTGATATCTTTCTCCTTTCCATGTTTTTCATACAATTTTGTAGCTACATTTTAATTGAAGTTATTAGCATAACATATAATTAAATGAGCAAACACCAAATCTGTCATAGTACCTACATATTTGCCAAATTTCAGACTTTATAAAAGCGAATTCGCTGGTCTGAAAAGACAGGGCGACGACACATCAACACGAGATCAAATCTATTTAGACAATGGGCATGGAGACAAAGAGTGAGTTCAAGCATCACGAGATCTACGGAAAGCCAAATATCATGTTATTTGCTCAACAATTCGATGGAAGCGGTGGCTATGATTATATAAACATTT